ATTTTAATCTTGCATAGCGCACTGTGGGAGTTCTCTTTTAACCTTTTATTTCTGGTGCATATTCCTCGGTTGCCCTTGTTTCGAAGGCCCCGACGACGAACGACGGCTCATTTAATATTCGCACGGCCCTGAGGGGTTGTGTGTCCTCGGTGGCCAATGGTGTGAAGGCGCGAGGGGCAAACCGTCGTTCCCTTCCTTCTCTTTGATGAAATTGTTAAAGTACATTTTGTTCATACGGCCCCACGTCAGGCGCACCCACATAGCAACACCGCCAATGATAGTGCAAAGGGTGTGGCACAAACTAGACCTAGTATCTCGATCGCCTCGTCTTGTTTCGTCCTTCTTGTCACACTAAATTGTAGTCGTATGCTACGAGTGGATTTCGAGTTCCAATCGAATTCGAAGCGAATAGCAGTTTTGTTCGAATATTTTCGAATCGAATATCGAATAGTTTATCAAAGTCTTTTTGTATTGTTTCACCATGATTAAACAAAAAATTATAAGCCAATTTTAATTTTACTATATCTATGGACTGTGTCCTCAGAACGTTTGATGCCTTGGGATGGCAAGAGAACGGCGGATTTTACGTAAAATAAACCTATAGAGATCACCAGTATACCTGATTGAGTGGATTTACAAATCTTGCTATATGCAAATATTCTTTCTTCAATCTAGAACGTGGAAAGAAAAGGGCTCACGATTGATGGATGTGCAGGTCCTAATATACAGGGTATTCCACCTAACTTGAGCCAAGGTTTAAAAATATGTTGGTGCATTTTAGGAAGACTAAACCACATGGAGGAGTTTGTTCATTGTTTGGATCGACTCGGGCTTTTTTCCCCAATTAACTAATTAATTAAAATTAATTATTGAACTTCTGAAATATTCAATTTAGAGCAAAAGTTAAAACGACAAAGTTGTAGGGCCTCCTCAGAAACATCTAATTCAGTGGTTTTTATCCAGAAACCTCTAACACTGTTCGTTTTTCCGGGCTTCAAAAAAAAAAGTGCCCGAATTCAGTATGCAGGCCTAGTTCACTCAAGCCAGGGCTGAGAGCGCTACAATGCAATGTGCACATGCGCTAAGTGGTAAGGTGTCTTTGTAAAAAACACTGAATTGAATGTTTCCGGGGACGCTCTACAACTTTGTCATTCGAACTTTTGCTCAAAATTGAATATTTCAAAAGTGCAGTAATTAATTCGCTAATAGCGCAAACTACAAAAAAAAAAAAAGAGAGCCTCACTTACTCCAAACAATGAACAAACTTATTCCTTTGGTTTCGTCTTCCCAAAAGGCGCCAAAATATTTTTTAAACCTTGGCTCAAGGTACGTGGAATACCGTGAAGACTTCTATTTTGTTTTAACAGCACCAGTTTAATATTGCAAATTTAACTGCACTGTAGATAATAACACTCACAATTTTTCCGTTTCTTTTTTAAATTGACCAGGCGCGTGCCTGCACCATCCCGCTTTGGAAGTGTGCTTTTCTTCCAAGTCCGCAATTGCTATACGTATTCATACTTTTCCAAGTGTTGATCGCGGCGGGTAGCCCCGTTGAGGGCGCTTCTTATCGAGCACCGGTGCACTGCGGAGGAGCAACTCCCGCGGAGCTCACTTCCGCGGGTGCTGCTTCTCCGCAGTGCACCTGTGCTTGGTAAGGAGCACGCTCAACGGGGCTAACCCGCCGCGGTCAGCACTGAATGTAACGAATATCGCAGTTCATTTCGGAGGGAATATTGAACAGTGTATTATTCTAAACAACTATTGGAAATTCAGAATATCCGCACACTACAAATTGTATTGCCTTATTATGAAAAAAAAAAAAAAAACTGCTTGGGACTCCTACGTGGTGCCTGCAGTATTACTAAATAAATAATAAAAATGAAAGTTGTACTAAAATGCTATCGTTGGCGATACCACGTCGTGCGTTCAGATAATATTTTTACGGGCATTTATTTATCTTTACTTAAATACTGTTTTATACAATCTTTTTTTTTTCTCGCACAAGAAATGTATGTTTTGGGGTAGTTCCCCAAATGTAAGAGCACGCAATCCACCAAGCGAAAACTGTTTGTTTTCTCTTTTGCGATCGCATGCATTGCTTGCTTGACTGCTTGCTATTTCCTCATATTTTAAATTACTGCACTATACTTTTTTATGTAAAACTCTCAGTATATAGCTGATTATATTGAATTATATATATGCGAAAAAAGAATAGTATTTACAATATTTAAAAAAAATAAAGATGTTTACAAATCTCTGTAACGTGAAATTAGAGTGCAGCTCTTGAGGAGGGGAGGGTATGCCTTTCTTTTCTTTGTGCCCTCTCCTCCCCCGTCTTCCTCTGCTCCTCGTCCTTTCTTCCTCCTCCTCTTTTCCTTCTCTCCCCTACTCCTCCTCTCCCTTCATCCTCCTCTCCCCCTTCCTCCTCCGCACAAGACGTCGATTTTCCCGCTAAATCTAGCAGAGAAACTGAATTTGTTTATTGGTGACATGACACCAAGTCGTGTGACGTCATTTTCCTTGCTAAATTTAGCAGGGAATTGAATTGGTGTTGAGGCCACATGACGTCAATTTTCCAGCTAAGCGCGGTTACGCCAACGCCGCCGCCAACGCTGCGAAACTCGGAAACAGGCGCGCAAGAGCTTCACTCTAAAGCAAAGAAGTCATACTGTGGCCTATGACGATTTCTGGCAGAGGTTGGCCAGCTCTTGTTTATAACTTCGAAAAGCTAATAATTACCTCTTGTTATTAACATCAAGTTTAATGTATAATATTGTATGTTAGATGATTTGGCGTTCGGGAGTTGGGATAACGGGGAGGGGGGAGTGATATTTCTCCCTCCAAAATCTCGGATATATAATAGACTTTCTCAAAAAGCTTTTTTTTTTTTTTTTTTAACTTTTTTTTTGCAATTTATTGAAGTGGCATTATAGGAACAAATATTTTCTGGAAATGTAACATTTGGTTTGTATGGCCACTTTTAAAGCTTAGAGATGAATGCTTTTTATTTTTTATCTAGTAGCTGGCATATATGTTAGGATGCAATCAAAAACATTACAACTAAAAGGGTTCAAGCTTCAACAAAAGCTGTACAGACAACAGTAGCTAGGAGTAAATAAAATATTTAAGCAAAATAAAAAATATGATATTGGAGGAAATCGATTCCAGAGTTTCTAAATTAATATAAAAAAGTTTATTCAAGTGCATGTCACTATCACTATAGCATAAAATATTCAATATCAATAAAATGGGCTGATTTTAAGGTTTCTAGATATATGCCTTGCCAATGGAAAGAGCAAGTCATCTGCTTCTTGCGCAGGGGCTGTGGTGATGTCCGAACAACGCCGAGTTCTAATTTGCTTTTATTGGAAGGATAGTGGGTTGACTTCAATGCTAGATGCCTTTAGGTCTACCCACTATTGTTTCAATCAGCCAATAACAGCTTGGCATCCTGACAGCATCGCAATCCCTGTACATGAAGCAGACAAACTTGCACTCCATATTATTTTTAAAGCAACCCAGTCTGTTCTTTTTTTTTAGCAAATAGTCCACAAACTATTTGAAATGTTATAGAATCATTTCATTGTAGTGAGACTTGTATTGAGTGTTTTAAAAAAAGTGAAATTTCAGTAGCTTAAATAGCGAGGAAAGAAGCAGAGGATCAAATATATGACTCCCTTCTAATAGGCAGGCTAGAATAGAGTAATTAAATGAAGAATGAAGTTACTATCACTAAATTCTCACCAGATGGAGGCAGTTGGACCATTCAGCTACATTTGAGACTTGTGTTCATCCCCTTTTTTTTGCATCTTTTTGTCTCTGTCATAGACTTTTGTGATTATGGCATTTACCATAATATCCCAAGCATGCTTCAGTATTGCAATAAACGCCCGCCCCCTATTTCGGAATGTTTGAAATATTGGTGTTGGGCTCACAGGTGCCCACCGTAGCAGACTTCTGAACCTACTGAGCTAACCGGGATGCTTCTTAGATCGTGCTGGTGCAAGGCAGTGAAGCTTTACGCCTGCATGCAGATGCAAACCAGTAAAGCCTGACATGACAGCGCTAGCAGAATGTGGGCTTCACTAGGACCGTGCGGCTGATTTTAAGTTCCGCCACACACCCATACTGGTACCGTACCATTCCATTGGATCAAGCAAGTGCTTACTCATATATGTGCCCCTTCTGCTTGGCCACTTTCAAACCTGAGAAACGCTCATCCCCTTCTTTTGTTTTGCCATCTAACTTTTGTGTGGGCGTTTGCTTGGTATTTTATGGTGATGTTTGGAATTTATTTATAAATCAATGGGGATTGGTGGTTGAGTGGGCTAGTGCAACTAGCTCGGAGCAGGTGGAGCGAAAGCTAGCACTGCAGAGCCCACGGATCCTCTGTTCAATCCCCACCCCTGCCCGTTTCTATGTGGATGAGCATCGTACCGGCGTGCGGTCGTGTATCACTACTGCATGATGCACGTTAAAGACCCCCAGGCTAGCGGTTGTACTGCACTGGCTAAATTACTCATCTACAGCGAGTGACCCGTTGCAACATTCAAATGGCTGACCAACTACACTCTGTATAAATATCCACACAGCCCCAATTATTATTTGCTGATCTGCAGCTAAAAGACAAGTAGCCTGTTTAGGCAGACTAACTTCAGGCTGTATAAACATACAACACATTTCTTTTTTTATAAATCGAAAAGAAAATTATGAGCACTCCTTAAATATTTTTACACTTCAGAGCAGGAGCATAACTTCTTTTTTTTATATTTGGGTAAGCTCCTTTTAAACCATGAATAATTCCAAATGTGAGGGGAATGCACCGAAGACTTCATTTCTGCAACTTATAGAAAAATAGACGTTCCAAAACAATCTCAGATTTTCCTTAGAACTGAACTCCAAAATGCAGTACTCTCTTACTACTATATTGTAGAACTTTGGATACCAATGTAGGACATTTGGTTAGCTGACAAATTCTGACTCTGTTCTTCGTGCAGGAATTTTTGCTTACCTAAACTACTTGGAGCCGAAGACCCGGCGTGAGATATTGGAGTTTTTGATCAAAGGACTGCAAAGGCTTGAATACAGGGGATATGACTCTGCAGGTTCGTACTTTTCTGTTTCTCTTGTTCCAAATCTTTGAGAGTTGCTTCCGAAAAGTCTTCAATGTTCGTCCTGTGTTCAAACAACAGGTGTCGCCTTCGATGAAGACTCGACTGGCGACCAAATCTCTATCATCAGGAAGATCGGCAAAGTCAAGGTTCTCGAGGACTCAATTTGGAGTAAGCGGCATGGGGAAACCTGTCGGGTAATCGTTTTACGTTATGCAACAGGTGTCTGAAAGAAATGTTCATGCAGAGAGGGAAGACCTGAACATGGATGAGGAACATCAGAGCCACATCGGTATTGCGCACACTCGATGGGCTACCCACGGGGCACCGAGCGACCTGAACAGTCATCCACAACGATCAGACACTGGCAATGGTAGAGTAACTTCCTTCTTAGCTTATCTAAATATATCTCATTGCATTTTTTTTTTATATTTCTCACTAGCTCACAACTGAAAATCTGCAATCCAAATTACTACTAGTACTATGTAATATGCTCATCCGAGACACAAGCTTACCAGGTGGAATAAGTGTGAAATAGGCGTTTGTGTCGTGCTCGCACTCTTTTTCACTGGGTACATTCAGGCACACTCATATTTGGCTTTTATGTGTGACCATTATGGGACTGCATGCTGGTATAAGTTGAAAGCTCCGTCAGAAATGTCTTTCACGGGTTTTTTAATAATTGCTTTTTGTTTAGCACCTGCAATTTTATTTTGAAAGTACTAATCCTGGACACGCATCGTCTAATACCATGGTGGAGAATGTGCAGAAGAGGGGCCAAATAGAGAAAGGCCAAATCTGGAAAGTTAAGATTTAGGTTAATTTTTCTTTTTGCAGTCATGTGGTAAACTTTCCGTACCTAACTTTATCCCCGATAGGCAAGTTTGACTGATTGTTTTCTTCTGTCGGACATCTTCTCTTACAACCAGCTCGCTTGTTGATGTTTGTGTGTTGTCTTGGCAGTGAAGTGTTTCCATCATTAGTTCCTGTCGTGAGGACTGCAAAGTCATATAGACATGGGCAGGTGACTCATGTCATAGGACTGATCTTGGACACTTTTTGAACAACAGAGTTTGTGGTTGTGCACAATGGCATCATCACCAACTACAAGGACATCAAGCAGTTCCTGATGCAGAAAGGTTTCCAGTTTGAGTCTGACACTGACACTGAAGTGATTGCCAAGTTCATCAAGCATCTCCATGACACCCACCCAGAATTATCCTTCAGAGAACTGGTGGAGCAGGTCATTCAGCAGCTGGTAAGCATAAAATGAACTCTATGGGATAACCTTTTTCATTTTCTGTCATATGTATCTCTCTTTTTATATAACCAATAGGGATGCTCAAATTTGTTTGAATAGCAAAAAATAGTTGGCCTCACCTAATCCTGAAATCGCAAGCCAGTGAAAATAATTGATTTCTTTTGAAAATTGTGTTCTTGTGGAGGTGTTCATGCATTTCTTGCATGATAGTCATTTAACTATTTATTAGATACCAAAAAACATTTTTATGAGAATGTAACTGTAATTCTGGCATGCCCTTTCTTAAAAAAGCTCAAGGCAGTTTCTCTTGCTCTTATTTCTACTAGGAAGGGGCTTTTGCGCTGGTCTTCAAGAGCAAGAAATTTCCAAACCAGTGTGTTGCCACAAGGTATGACAACAATGTGAATATATGAGCCTGTTATGAAGTTGCCACCCCCCCCCCCCCCAGTCCCCCTTTCCAGGGTTCACACAGAGGGGTGCACTTACCAATTTGAAACACATTTATTTTATTAGCACTTATACAGTGAGTGCACTTTCTTTTCAAAGTCTAGGCTTATATTTCTATGCCTGCCACAAAAGTATGAAGACGGGGTAAAATATAATTGATTCTTTTTGCCTTGCGCTTTGTTTCTCAAGGAGGCTTTTTGCCTTCTTGGCAGAGGAGCAATCAAAAGGTGTGTATATGTCATAGGTTCAAACTGAGCACCAGTGGTCGCAACCTGGCTTAGACTGGGTAGTGAAATGACAATGCACTTTGGTGTTTCAGGTTGCTGTGCATAGGCCTTAGTTGTTTTACAGACTAAGCTGCTTAATGTTTGATTGCCTCTCTGTATTTGCTTTAATTCTGTCACTTGGTTACTTTACATTGACACAATATCTTGCAGCTCTTATTTCCTGATATGGGCAAAGGAGACTGGTACAAAGCAGTGACTTATAAACTTTAGTGCATAAACAAAGTGTCATGAAAGACAAATTTGGGACAGAACTTGGAGAATAGTGCTCTCTTCTTCATTTAGAGAAGCCAGAATTCTTGCTCGAACATTCAACTAGAAAATTAACTTCTCAGTGGCCTTCATTTTTGCAAGACAAGGTGCATTTTAGTTGTGCTAAGGGGAACTTCCTATCCTAATGTGCCATTGCACAGATATAAGTTTGAGCTTTGCTGAGAGATATCATGTGTTCTTTATTTGTACAATTTCAGGAGAGGAAGTCCACTGCTTGTTGGTCTGAAGACCAAAACATATCTGTCTACAGAATTTATCCCCATATTGTACAGCAAGGGTGCGTATTTCCTTCTTGACTACAAACGTGCAGCATTGTTGGAGGTTTTAGGCACTGTAGTTATGCATTTTAGCACAGCTATGTATATGCTATGTGCCGGCTATATATAAAGCGAAGAAATTACCAAAAATCTTGTAGGTTTTTTTTTTAAATTTACTTGAAACAGGGTAGTAACATATACTGTCATGTCCCGTCAATACAGACACCTTCGTTCTCCCTTAAACTCATTCATAATGTAAGTTGCTTATAATAACGGGACAAAAATGTGTTTGCTTATCCAATCAGTCCCCTAAAATGTTGTCTATATAATAGGGTATCCAAATTAACAGGGTTCATATTAATGAGACATGTCTGTATCAAGCAGATTTCTCTCGATAGTTGTGATCGCCACAAGTGGTTTCACTGTGCATCACTAGGGAAAGCTACTTGCTATGTCTTGCAGAACTTTAATGTGTAACTAATGTTTTCTTATGACCAGCCTTGTCATTGGACAAAAGTAAGTAAGTCTACTGTGCTCACCGATTCTCCTTCTTTGGTTGAGTGTGCCTCCTTTCATGACTCTATAGACTTCCTCCGACCTGTCAGCTGCCCGAGATGGGAAAAAAACTGTTGCTAATATCTGTTGATGCTGGTTTTTCTTGAAGGTGGTGGTGCGTTCGCTTTCACCGATGCCTCTTTGACCTGTGCTGTTGGGTGTATGTTCTTCTTATCCTTCTTTTGCATTGCACGCATATGCTTACTTTCCGCCTGTGTGTGAAGGTGGTGTCCACTAGGGTTTCTATTACTTTGCAAGGATTATGTTTCACATGAACGTTTAAAGCTTTTTTATTTTCGTGCTTAATTAAATTTTTGCACCCCTCCTTGCATCCTTCTCTCAAAAAAAAAAAAATTAAAAAAATGTAATAAAAAGACAATTATAGGCGGTTACAAGTCAAGAAGGTAGGAGAAGCTCTTCCCTCAAGCGTGATGCGCCGGTTTCAAATCCCTCCACAGTCGAAGGGAGAGTTCACTGGAAATGCTCCTTGTTCCGCTTCAATGGATTCCAACTTGTCTCTGATCCGACTTTTTAAGAAAGCGACTTTTGTATTTATCGGAGGGGGAACCGAGCCCCTGAAAGGCAGCCTTTTATCCATCGGAGGGGGAACCTAATCCCCGAAATTCGTATTTGTTTCCATCGGAGGGGGAAAACTCTAATCTCCCTCTTGTGGCTTCCACAATGCTAAGTCAAAGACGAAAGATAAGGCAATTATGTACAAAAAGGCAAGACCCTCCTCGCATGTTGGCCGCGACGTCACGAAAACGATGGGACGCTATTGGATGCGGAGGTAGCGGAGGGACGTATGATTCCCTTTGAGGGGCATTTGCCGCTACCTTCTTGACTTGTAACCTACTACAGTTAGTCTCAGCTTTACCTGGGTTTCTGGATGTATTCGAAAAGCTTGTTCTCAGTGGCTCATAGGCTGAGGAAGAGCATTGAATGCTTCTGGCATCCTTAGGAATAGCTCAGGTAATACATACACTGTTCAGTTGTTTTACTCATCTCTTAACAGTGAGATGTTTTGGTGGCACCCTCCTATGGGTCCCTCTCGTGACCTCATTACCTTGCAAACAACAAGTTTGATTGTGTTTGTAATGAGCATAGTGGAAGCTTGAAATCATTGCGCTCCGAAACCAACGCTGCCAACACCGCCAAAATTGAAGTTCTTCCATTCCTGTTATTTCCGTCGAAGAGAAATACTTTGCCGACGTCATACTTAGCATTCGGCCAATTGTGGAAGGCCGATTAGTGCAACGCTTTTGATCGCGCAGATCGCCAACACCATGTGATACACCAGAACATACTTGTTTAGTGTTCTTTGTAGTATAGTGTTTCTGCAGATGCACTTTTTGGTGGAAAAGTCTTTATCTGTTTGTGTAATAACCCATCAAATACCGAGAAAGTGCCCACCCAAAATTTGGGAATAATCTAATCTTGAATAACTGGAGAATGAGTGCTTACGAGGTCCGAGAGAAAAAATGTGAAAAAGGCATATGATAGGGAGGGCTTCACTGCATTGAACCGACGCATCAAGCTTCACCGCTTTGCATCAATGTGCTCGGAGAAGCTACTATGTGGAGAAACATTGCAGTTAGCTAATTGAACTCGGCGGTTTGGGGCGGGCGCTTTGTCTTTTGCCTATTTTTCAAATATTTAAAAACGCAGGTGGGCACGAATTGTGGCTTGGGTGCATGCTCGATACTTTATGGTGTTTATTTTCTCTGAATCTCTGAAGTAGCAGATTTAACCGGAATAGTTGTCAAAACTCTGATATTATCTTAAAGAAATCAAGTTCATAACATACTTCTGAATTTTTTGAAGTTTTAACTCTGCACCCTCCCCCACTTTAGTGGTTGGTTGCAATCTCAGGGAGTGAAGGGGGGGAGGGAGGGGGGAAGGGGGGGAAGGGGCAGGAAAGGGCTACTAAAGGCATAAGGGCCCCAGGTGCCAGAGGACCTAGCTATGCCACTGTGTACAAGTTGTACAAAATTTGGGCCCGGAAAATGAAACATGAATCTTCCCCTAGAGGCAGTAACTGCACTATGGGAGGGGAGCTTTATGATGAATTCTGTATGTATATTGCACAAAACCCCTGTATGCTCGCAGTGGCACTTAGTTCCAGTGATGTTTCCTAGAGTACAACAAGAAAAACAATCTGTCAAAATGAGGGAATAAAACAAAAAGGGGAAATTCTCTGTTGCAGAATGCCCTGCTTCAACTAAATTGTTTGATAAGCTTTAGCTACTTTAATCTTTATTGCATTTTACCTGTATATTATAGAGTGAGTTTATTATGGCATGTCAGTTAGATATACTATGTGCTGCACTGTTGCTGTAACATACTCAGACGTTTGGCCTGTCTTTCCTTTGATTCAATAAGTTGGACATCCTTCCTTACTAAAGCATGGTAAGTGGAGAGGTTATAGACAAATATTGAAGTCATATATAGTTGATTTGTTTAAATATGAAAAGGATCTCATTCTGTGAATAAAATTTTGATCACTGAGCTGCCTGAAAATGCCTGCCGCTAGTGCAGTAGCATGTTTGGCATGACCTTCTTGTGGCATGTGGCTTTTGTGTTCTCCTTTTGGATGTATGTGTTGGTAGTGTTATTGTGAAGCCTCGAGTCTAACTTGTAACTTTGTTTTTGTGTCCCCACTCATTTAGCCCCTGCATGTTTTGTTTGTCTCTTTCTTTCATTGTGCTGTCCTGTCCCTCTTTTACTGACTCCTTTTGGGATGCAGAGTCTGGCAACCAAACCGAAGAAGGTAGACATTGTTTCTACCCTTTCTTTTGTTTCCGAGACATTTTCAGCACTCGAGTGTCCTTTCCCTACAGTTGTTTAGCTTTCTGTGCTTGACATAGTAGTCTTTCCTACTCAGGGTGAAGCTTGGTTAGAAAAACAATGATTGAAGATTTTCCTTGACTAGAAGCCAATATGGTACAAAGCTTTCTTTCTGAAGACGTTTCATCTATGCCTGAGGCGTTCCATGTGGAAGTTATTTTTATTAATTAAGCTGTTCACTTCCAAATTGTATAAGCTTTCCTAATAATGAAGCAGTCTTTTGTACTTCTGTTGTAAAAAGGTCTGTCATCTAACGGAAGTGAAAAGTTTTCTACGAGTTACTTCTATACTTTAGAACTATAGTTATTGAACGAAGCCCCTACAACACAGTTTCAGTGGCGCAGTGCCTTTTAGTCAATTGCAATTTTATGTTATGGTATCATTTAGTAGAATGGAATTGGCCTCACGTGTGTACATGCATTCTGAAAGTGGTGATAGTCTCGTGATTTCATTAAAAGTAGACTTATTTATTTATGCATGAGAAGTTTAAATGTTTTCTGATAGTCGCTATGTCCATAACTCGGACAAACTGAGCTTAATTTTGAATGCTTTAATCACGAGAAGCCGCATAATAACCCTGTGCCTGTTTTTGTTAAGATTGTGCAACGGTAACCCCAGTCTGGTTTTGAAAATGTCAGTACATACTTTTGTTTTTCTGTATTCTCTCTTTTCCCGGTGGTGCTTGTTTTTGCTTGGAAAATTCTTTTAATGTTTACGATGTAACCATACATTAAGCAAAGCCTATGCTCTGATTGGCAGCCCTCCTTTAACATAGCATGAAGTCTTCCCTTCCGTGATCCTACCTTGCGATCGATTTCTGATAGCCTCGTGTGTGTGTGTGGATGTTTATCTGCGTAGGGCATGTGCCCGTTTTGTGTGGCATGCAAACTCTGAAAAACGTGGACCTTTGTGTTTCTCTTCCCTATGGGGATGGCCGTCTGCATCCCAACCAACCAACCCTTCCACCCTTCTGCCCCACCTCTTCCTCCTCCTCCTCTTTGTGGTGCAGAAAAAGACGACTCACAGTCAGGTAGTACCTCACAATCCCTTCTCTTCTATTCCTCAACAGTGTATGTTGCACCTTCACCTCATTCCACTCTCTCATACATCTGCATACGGCTGTTTTTACTCCGTCTTCATTGAGTGTTTCGTGTTTGCTGCTACCTTGCTGTGCCTTTTTGTTTTCCCCATTTAGCTTTACGTGATTAGTCCACTAAAAAGATTTTTTAAAGATCCACTGGAGGAGGTTTGGGGTTCTGTGGGTGTTTCAACAATTCTCTTGTTTAATGGAACTTGAAGAACTAGCAACTCTGCATTAATTTTGTTTTTGCTGCCGAATATAAGCGAAAGAATGTAGCACTATCTAAGAGGCCTTACCTTTTTACAAAGCATTATCATAATTAAATTGCTTGTCTTTTAGGCATTTTAATTTTTTCTGCAGGGTATTCACACTACAGTTATTCTTTTCTTCTGTGCAATTAAGTGTTCATAGGTGTACTTATACTTGGGCATAGCTGACACAGTGAATGAAGGGACTTTTCGTAAATTTGTTTTCATACCAAACAATTTATCAAGGCTCCACATTAAATATATATATTTCTTTTTGGTAACTATGCCATATGGTGTGGTAGATCATACCTTACAAATGAGTGTAGGACAAAATGGTCCCAGACAAAACAATCTCAAACAGTATCGTCCTGAACGGTATGGTTTCGGACTATTTGGTCCCGAGTGCAAACCTGGACAAAATTTTTCGACACTTTTGACGCTCTGTCAAAAATGTCGCTGATATCTGCAGCAATTATTTTTAAGGTGGGTGATAGAAATAGAATGCGGTCCATTCATCACATCTCGATTCATCATAGGGGGAGTAAAGACAATTTATTGTGTAAAGACCGCATATTTTGATGCAGTGTTAGGAAATAACAATGAAAATAAACATGCTTTTGAACACATGACACATTTTATTATGTTCCATCAAAATGTCTACGATCTTGAAGCAACGCTGTGTGGGAACGTGTTAATATGGTCCACACCCTTCAGAGGGTCATTCATGGTAATGCTTCCTTGTACATACTGTGTGCAGATTGATGGAAATCACAGTTGCATTTCTCGGTAGACTGGTTCAAACTCAAGTTGAACGCACTAAAAGAAGAACGAATGGTGAAAATTATGCGCAAAAAATAAGAACTCTAGATTGACAAACGGCTCGCAACATAAATATTTTACGAATTACATTTAACAACAGACCAAGCAATAAAAAAAAGTAACTTCAAAATGACCAACGGCTCATGTCATAAGTGTTTAGCAAAAATAAATACACGCAATCTAAAAACTTGTGAAAAGCAGGAAAACTAATAAAAATGCCGCAAAAATGAGTTAGGACCATTTTGTCTGGCCTAGCACTCAGGACCATATTGTCCGGGGCCATATTGTCCGGGGCCATATTGTCCGGGGCCATATTGTCCGGGGCCATATTGTCCGGGGCCATATTGTCCGGGGCCATATTGTCCGGGGCCATATTGTCCGGGGCCATATTGTCCGGGGCCATATTGTCCGGGGCCATATTGTCCGGGGCCACATTGTCCGGGGCCACATTGTCCGGGGCCACATTGTCCGGGGCCACATTGTCCGGGGCCACATTGTCCGGGGCCACATTGTCCGGGGCCACATTGTCCGGGGCCACATTGTCCGGGGCCACATTGTCCGGGGCCACATTGTCCGGGGCCACATTGTCCGGGGCCACATTGTCCGGGGCCACATTGTCCGGGGCCACATTGTCCGGGGCCACATTGTCCGGGGCCATATTGTCCGGGGCCATATTGTCCGGGGCCATATTGTCCGGGGCCATATTGTCCGGGGCCATATTGTCCGGGGCCATATTGTCCGGGGCCATATTGTCCGGGGCCATATTGTCCGGGGCCATATTGTCCGGGGCCATATTGTCCGGGGCCATATTGTCTGGGGCCATATTGTCTGGGGCCATATTGTCTGGGGCCATATTGTCTGGGGCCATATTGTCTGGAACCATATTGTCTGGGGCCATATTGTCCGGAGCCATATTGTCCGGGGCCATATTGTCCGGGGCCATATTGTCCGGGGCCATATTGTCCGGGGCCATATTGTCCGGGGCCATATTGTCCGGGGCCATATTGTCCGGGGCCATATTGTCCGGGGCCATATTGTCCGGGGCCATATTGTCCGGGGCCATATTGTCCGGGGCCATATTGTCCGGGGCCATATTGTCCGGGGCCATATTGTCCGGGGCCATATTGTCCGGGGCCATATTGTCCGGGGCCATATTGTCCGGGGCCATATTGTCCGGGGCCATATTGTCCGGGGCCATATTGTCCGGGGCCATATTGTCCGGGGCCATATTGTCCGGGGCCATATTGTCCGGGGCCATATTGTCTGGGGCCATATTGTCCGGGGCCATATTGTCCGGGGCCATATTGTCCGGGGCCATATTGTCCGGGGCCATATTGTCCGGGGCCATATTGTCCGGGGCCATATTGTCCGGGGCCATATTGTCCAGATCCCCTTACAAACATGGTACCCCTTTTCTGTTCTTTTTTTTTTGCGATGGCAGTAAAGAAACTATACTATTAGCATGTATATTGATTATATTTGTAAGAAAATAAAATATGCTTCACCAGCACTTTGCTGTGTACTACTAATATAACTAATAAATATGTCCTTTTTGTTATAAGCCATGTTGAGTAATTTTGAATTGCAGAATACAAACTTGACCCAGATATGACGTAGCGGGAAGATATAAGGTGTGGGTTTTTTTGCTTTACATGTCGCAAGTCAAAAGGATAAATTGAAAGCTGTCTCGAAGAGGTTGGCATGTCCTGTTCACAGAAGATGTGCATCTCCTGCCCAATATTGCTTACCTTTGGATAACTCCAAACAGCTCACTCACTCTCATTCACCATTTTTGCACTTCAGTTGATATTGAGAGAAAATAGGCATGTTCAGTTTTAATTCGAGGCAGTGTGTAGCTTCAATTCATCCACATCTCATCAACACCACTATAATCTGTTCAGCCTTAAGACGTACCACAGCAAAGGCTACAAGTGCGAACTCGTTGCTCAAGGACGCACTTTGAGTGTACTAATTCTCGCACAGCAGGAGCAGCTGCCGAATCTTCGAGCTCGTGCTTTTAGCCTCTTCTGCAGCATGCCTTAAAGGGACACTGAACCTTTTTTTAAAAAAACATATTTTTAAGAGTCTGGATTGGACGTGTATGCTACAAATTGAGCTTCCTAAGAAAATTGATATATAGGTATACATCTAGCTCAATATTTGCATTGCGCGACTAATATTTCAAAAAATGCTTCTACTTCGAGACTTAAACCCTAAAATAGAAGCATGTTTCACAATTGCCCGCATTCGCCTTGCGACGTAAATACTATGCCAATTTTTTTTTTTTTTTTAAGTTTATTTTGTGACATTTGCGTGCAACCCGTGCACTTCAAAAAAAAAATTGAAGTGTGTTCCATGTCCTTAAAGGCAGACGAGCAGCCAGAAAGGAGGAAACTCTCCCTCAATTCCTCTTTACCATCCGAGATTAAGGGAGATCTTCCTTTCCGTGGGGAGCAGCTCAGTGGCCCACTTCTATGGGGAGAGGAGAGTGCGAGAGGGAATAGAGAAAAGGAAACTGGGAACCGGTTTCCTTCCCGGCAGAAGACTATTCTGTAGGTCGGCTTTAAGGTAAAAGGAAATAGTTGCCTGTGGGGAAAGTTTTGGCCTAATTTGTAGCCCATTTTTTGGGACTAGGTATGCATATTTGTGGCGTTAAGGCATGCAATTTATGTTGCTTTGATATGCTTTATACATAGCTTGCATCGTGCTGTGCCCTTGACACATTCTGTTGTGGCTTACTCCAGCAATGTATGTAAAATGGAGCAGAGTTAATAAATGAAATGTTGAAGATATGTTATCAGTGCTTGTACTATATATTTTAATGGAAAGTGCAAGTGCTAGGGTTCAGTGTTTTTGGTTTTTATTTATGTAATAATTTGCAAACTTTCATTTGGTTTTTATGTATAAAAACTTCTAACTACTACCCTGGGTGGCAACGTGCTAAGCTTGCCTGCCTGTCATTACGTTTATTGCCCCCAGATGGGGATGTTTTCCTAGCGTATTTACAAGTGAGTAATAATTGTCCTTTGATTTGCCTAACCATTTTGGTTTTCGTGAACTTTTGCTTCGAAAGACCACCGCCCTAGGGAAAGCCATCCACCGACCACTGCTGGAGGCCTTCAGCGAACTGCATCCACCACGGAGTTTGGACCTCCGGGCGATGACAAGGAGATTGAGTACTTCTTTGCCTCGGATGCCAGGTAACTAGAAGTACTGACTAAAATGTCGGTAGTGCATTAGCATCAGGTTTGCTGGGTCTTAGTTTTTCAAAGGAGCAAATGTTGCATGGTTTTTAAGGCTTTTACTCTAGAGGAAAAAACTTTTATTTGCATTCAAATCATTGTCTTTAACCCCACCTCGAAGAGGACTTGTACACTGAGGTGCAAGGTTAACCTTACCATGTGGCAAAATTCAGACCTATCGCCTTTTTTGTTTTTTCTTTCTAGCGCCATCATCGAACACACCAACAGGGTGATCTTCCTCGAAGATGACGATGTCGCAGCCGTGTCTGAAGGACGTATGTCTGACGAATTTGTCTGCATTTTTCCCCCTCTTAGTTGGTGAACTTCACTAACACTCTATTTAAATACTTTATAGATCTCACCATCCACAGACTCAAGAGGACTCTGGACGAGAACGTGAACCGTGAAATTATTACTCTAAAGATGGAAATCCAGCAGATCATGAAGGGTAAGCTCGAGAGCATTGGTTCTCAATCTTTTTAATTTTAGGGAACTCCTTCCTCTCCTTCTTAATTGATAGCTCAGGAACCTCGCCAGCCTTGGTATCGCTGCAGTAAAGTGGTGCAGAAGCCTGCAGACACAATAAACAATAAGGCACACACTAAGGAGCATTCGAGATAGTTCTGCATAAATAGGAGGCTCAGATCGTTTAGAATGCAGTGTTTAAACTGGGGAAACACTTGCCTTAGAAGCAGGGACTGTCCGGGAAATTTGAGGGCTCGGGGAATCTGGGGGGTACTCTGGGGAATCCCTGGGTTTCTAGGAATGTAGTTTGAGAACCTACTCATAGCCTGCACTAAGGTCGCATTAGCGGCCATTGCGGCAGCCTCACAGTTGAGCGCGTACCTTGTGCAGCATGCATTTCGTGCCATGGAATTTGTTTTTCTCAGCAAGGACAACTAGGAATGACCACTGGGACGATGCAGTGATGTCATGTGCAAGCCATGTGTGCTCTAGAGTTTAACTTTTATGGCACAGTTGTCTCGTGCTTATTTCAGGGCAGAGGCCTTGCTGATTGATGTCTACATAACTTTATCGGGTTTCTTGCAGGCAACTTCAGCTCTTTTATGCAGAAGGAGATCTTTGAGCAGCCAGAGTCTGTGATCAACACCATGAGGGGGCGGCTCAACTTCGAGAAGGAGTCGGTCATCCTCGGAGGTATCAAGGACTACATTGCCGAGATCAAGCGCTGCAGGAGGCTCCTCCTGATTGGTTGCGGCACCAGCTATCATAGCGCCATCGCTGTAAGTTTGCAACTTTTGAAGACCCGGTTGGCACTTGCTTGCTGTCTTTAACGTTATAAATACTGAACATTTACATATAGACTGACCTTGTTCATACGATATCTCTCGTGGACTCCTTCGATACTGTTTCTTTTCATATATTTAGTGGAGGCTTAGGAATGTGCAATACTGCATTACAGAGAAGCAGAAGACTTTTGTATTCTGTTCTCTTAGTTCAGTGTGCCTCAGTCTTAGGCCTCTGTAATGAATCAACATCTGCTTGCTTGCCTTCTTACTTTTAGATTTTTAAAGATATCCAACGACAACTAATTAAGGGGGACACTGGCTAGAGGTTGAACTTCTGAACTACTCAAGTGATCGGAAGGAAATTTGCAGGGAAGATTTAACATAAGATGTATGTGTACTGTGCAAACTTTCAGCTCTCTAGGGCAACCTTACATACCTGCATAAGGAGATATGCCAGACAAGGAAACAGCACACCCTCAAAACAAGCACTCTAAAGATTTCATGCACACAAACGGAAGAGCCACTTACACAGTTTTAACAGATATGCCACACTTCGTTAAGAAATCTATGATATGCAAATGAAGCTATTAAGCATCATTTTAACTGCTTGAATATAAAGTGGGGGATGGAAGACTTTGGGCTTTCTGGTTTTTATAACTAATGTAAATATTTCAGGAAGAGTGATTACCTCAAAATATGAGTTGCATATCTGTCCTATGTCAGTTTTTGAAAACATTGTCTTTTTTTAATGAGGACTTTAACTTAGAACAAACTAAAGTACATAACCCGATTCCTCAGTAAATTTCAGTTCAGAAACATCTTGATTGTGGTACCGGAATAATTTTACCCTTAAACAAAAGATTCCTTCGTATGAAATTTGCAGCAAAATGCGAAACTGCATTCAAACGTTCAACTCCTTTACTTTGTTACTGCCTCACAATCTGTTGAAATTATTTTATATCGTCATTTGGCGCATGGTTATGAAATTGAGTGTAAGGATGTATAATTAGTTTCTAAAACTGAAAACCTCAAAACTGAAAAATTTATTTTTTCAAAAAATTTCAAACTTACGCCCATGTGGCCCCCCTTAAACATGAGAATTGTCTAGTATGTGCAAGCGAGAAAAATTATGAAAGCAAAAACTTCATTATGATGCTATTAAATGCAAAGCTGCAAGCGAGCTGGACAAGAATGACGATAATAATCCCTGGAGAAAGGGGACAAGGGGGACAAAGGACGAACAAATCTCCAGGCGCAGCTAGGTGACTGGTGCACGACCGAAAAAATCCGCCTGGTCTGGGTATCGAACCCCGGACCTCTCCATTTGTGTCTGTGTTTTGTCCCTCTTGTTCCCCTTCTCCAATATTTATTTTCGTCATTCTTATCCAGCTCGCTTGCACCTTTGCATTTAATTTAGAGCTGTGCTAATATTCTGAATTTCAAATAATAGTTTCGAATAACACACTATTTGATATTCGCTTCGAGAAGAACTGTACTATTGCGTTTTTCGAAGTGTTTGTTGCGGCGGGTTAGTCCCGTTGAGTGCGCTTCTTACCGAGCACCGGTGCAGTGCGGAGAAGGAATGCCCGCGGAAGCGAGCTCCGTGGGTGTTGGTTCTCTGCATTACATCGGTGCTCGATTAGAAGCGCACTCAACGGGGTAACCCTCCGCAATAAACACTTGCGAAAGTATGAATATCGCAATGGCGTTCTTGGAGGAAAAGCATATATTTAAAGCGGGATGGTGGACGCGTGCAGGCTATATTTGAAAACAAATGGAAACTTTGTGAATGTGTATATCTACATTGTAGTAGATGTTTCAAAATTAAACTGACTGTTATGCAAGAGTATACTATGTTAGGCAGAGATGCACTTACAACCTGCGCTCATCATGCGTGATTCATTCTTCTTTAACTCAAGATTAAAGAAATAAAACTCAATTGGGTATAGTTGGCCATCTCTATAGGACTCATTTCATGTCAAATCCGTCGTTTACTTGCCATCTTAAGACATCAGACCTTCTGAGGTCACAGTTCATAAATATAGATAGATTGAACTTAGCTTATAGATGAGCAAGTGGAACAACCTTCACAATTTTAGCTGGGTTTTCGTCTAAGCATTATGCAACAATAGTAAAAGGTGATGAAAAACTACTCAATATTCGAATTGAAAATATTCAGCCAGGACCTTTATTCGCTTCAAACTCAAAATTCACTATTCGCACAAGACTAATTTAATTGCATTGTAATCCAAACCTTAAAATGCAAGCCTTTCACTCTTGTTGGTGTTAAGCTGGTGGCGGCTGATAAAACCTGTTTGCTCTACTGACGTCTACCCTCTGTTTAGCTCAGTCGGTAGAGCACTCCACTGGAAATGGCGAGGTCCCGGGTACGATAGCCGGACCAGGCAGATTTTTTTGTCGCGCACCAGTCACCTAGCTGTATTTAAAGATTTGTTTGTCCTTTTTCCCTCGTGTTCCCCTTCTCCAGGGATTATTTTCGTGAGCAAAAACTGGTCTGCAGCCGAGTAAAGTCATGACTTCCCATTGCCTCTCTGGAAGTGTTAAATTTCATTCTTCACTTTTTTTCTTTTTTTTCACAATATTTTAGAAATATTCAGGCTTTATAGAGAAAGAATACCTGAGATTTGATATGTCTAGGTATTTTTATAAGGAAACCAAATAGAGCTCTTTGAATGGGGTCATACTATGGTTCTTTTTGCTGTTTTATGCCACCTCTAAAAGAAGTTGAAAGATACTACCATAGAGATTGAGTGGAAGAGTGTTTCTTGGCTTAAATATCTCATATTCTAATTTTTTTTTTTTTAATTTCTAGTCGTAGATCTTTTATATTGATGTTGTAAGTAGGTGTACATACGAGACAGAATATCTTCCGGAGCATCTAAATTTTCATATGACTTTTATGACCTCACGTAATTGAGAAAAAGAAAAGTTAACCAAAACTATCACGATTGAACTTGTATTTTTGTATTAATTACGAAATAATGTGGGCATGTAGAATTATTGTTTAAATGTTCCTTGAAAGGTGCTCATGCTTTGTTTGCTACTGGTAGTGTGTGATCATACATGCTGGTTTCACCATTCATGTTTTCTTTTTGCGAATGCACAGACTCGACAGATCCTCGAAGAGCTCACTGAATTGCCTGTCATGGTAGAACTGGCCAGTGATTTCCTGGACCGTAACACCCCTATTTTTAGGGATGATGTCTGCTTCTTCATTTCCCAGTCAGGTGTGTTAATACTAGTAGTTCTCTGTTCTTGCTCGGCACATGTTCTCCACACCATCTTCATAGCAATTATTTTTGGTGCTCTGGTGCCAGATTAAAAGCAACGGTGTGGACACTTGAATATACTTTTTTTTTTTCCGTTCGATATTTCTTTTTTTTAATTTTGTTTCAGTAGCTAATATATTAGAAAATACAGCGAAAAAAAAGGCTCCATTTTTTGGTGACATAAATTTAATGCTCGTGAGATTGCTTTTTACTTTATGCTAGGTGTCCGTTTTATGAAAAACACAGAACTCCTGAAAGTTGCTTCATTTTTTTGAAAAAAATTTTATGGAAATATTATTACATCTGCCAAACTTTGTTTGCAGGCACATTCTCACGCATTTTGATTTTTATTTAGCAGTAAAAATGTTGGGTATTACATAAGATATTTGTAGTTTTCTTCTAGACTTTTTTTTTTATTTTTTAACCCCAAGAGGGGAGGGAAAAAAGTTAAAAATATCAAAATTAGTATATGCACAACGTACTTGTTCTTTTTATTTATTTGTGTCTGTCCCCCTTTTTATGTTTATTATGTTTCTCTAGCTCACTTCAATGAGTATACCGTAAAATCCTGAGATATAGCCTACCTAAAATCGAAAGCATATTGGGTGAAAATAAGAAGTGGGGGGGGGGCTAACTTTCGGCGTGCAATCAAAAAAAGCTGAAAGAATGCTAATTTTACATTTTGTGACTTGCAAAACTCGTAATCTCAGCTCCCTGTCATTACAAGTTTCGTAGGTCACAAAATTTAAAACTAGAATTTTTTCAGCTTTTTTTGATTGCACACCGAAAGCTAGCCCCACTTCTTATTTTCACCCAATTTTCTGACTGGGAAGTCAGCAAACATTGCTGACTTCCCAGTCAGCCATGTTTGCTTATCTCATGCCGTGGTTAAGTAACACCATTTCTGCTGAGGTCACCATTGGCCAGGACCCTGCAATTACTAAGAAGGGGCTATTTTTCGGTGTTCTTGAAAAAATAGCAAATCGAGCCAAAAGTAGGGGTGGGTTATCTTTCGGGGGTGAGGTGTCTCTCGGAATATAAAGGGTAGTACCGTATTTACTAGAGTAATAGCCGCACTGTTATGAAGAAAAACTTGAAGGTTTGCTTTTTCCGCGGAGCACGCAGATTAGTTGCCAATCACCGCAATCAGCAGCATGATTCCAGCTGTTTACAGGACAGAGATAACGTCTTCCTGTGAAGATACCATTTGTGAAGATTGCATTTGTATGGAGAATCGTGTTCTTGATCTGGTTATTCACTGTTATTTATGCGCAACGCAATGATTGGCTGTGTTTCTGTTCTGTTGGAAAGTAGACGCGAAGGCCTTGCACATTAATAGTGCGTCTATTGCTCGAGTAAATACGGTATAGTGTTATTTTCTTTTTGTGTGTCTTATGTTTGTCATAGTAACAATATTATGTGAATTCTGTTGTTTCGCTCTTTATTTTTTATTTCTTCTGGGCTTCAAACTACAGTATTTACTATCCTCACGTAAATGCTTTTATGCTTCGGCAGCACATTCTGTAATGTGAACCATTATGCCTTTCAAACAGTTTTATTTGTGGGTGCTGGGTTACATGACATGAGGTCATCGGTGTTGTCTTATTTGAAGGAGAGACTGCGGACACGCTGATTGCCCTGCGATACTGCAAGCAGCGGGGAGCCCTGATTGTGGGTGTTACCAACACTGTGGGCTCGAGCATCTGCCGAGAGAGTCACTGCGGCGTGCACATCAACGCAGGACCTGAGATTGGAGTGGCCAGCACAAAGGTGCGTCCTTGAAACTCCAACAGTGGTGAACTGATGCATTTTATCTTCGGTGGATTGCTCTGAAAAAACATTAAAGAGGATGGCTCTAAACATGCTTCAAGATTGAATGCTGTCTACATGTATTGCCATGATTGTTAGACTGTTGCATGCAAAACAGATATATCTTTGGTTAAAGCTGAGACAGCAGTGATGCTCTTTGAGCTGAGCATACAGAAATTGGCAGGTTTTTTCATTTGCACAAAGTGCCATTTCGACATGCATTGCTTCACGTGCTCAGTGATCTGAGCAATGTCAAAGCAGTGAGCTATGACACTGTTTTCACATTGTCCTGGCACTGTTTTGCCATTGTCCTGGCACTGTTTTGACACTGTTTTGACACTGCTCTGTCAGACGCCGCTCTGTCAGGCGCCGCTCTGTCAGGCGCCGCTCTGTCAGGCGCCGCTCCGTCAGGCGCCGCTCCGTCAGGCGCCGCTCCGTCAGGCGCCGCTCCGTCAGGCGCCGCTCTGTCAGGCGCCGCTCCGTCAGGCGCCGCTCTGTCAGGCGCCGCTCCGTCAGGCGCCGCTCTGTCAGGCGCCGCTCTGTCAGGCGCCGCTCTGTCAGGCGCCGCTCTGTCAGGCGCCGCTCTGTCAGGTGCCGCTCTACTAGAAACTGCTTTGTCACGGCGGTGTTTACTATGAACCCTTGGTTTTGAAGTTTCTGTAGCTAGATTGTTTTTTTTTTTTTTTTGTCTTTTTTAGAGTTGTAAAGATGGGCTTAATCATGTGAGCAGTGTCGGAGCAATGAGCAAAGACACTGTTTTGACACTGGTGTTTTGAACACGCTCTGTCGCGCGCCACTCAAAATGGTCTCCTTAATTGTGAAGTTATTTTTTTTTTTTTTTTTTCGGTGTTGTAAAACACTGCTTCAATTTTGTTTGCAGGCATACACAAGCCAGTTCATCTCCCTCGTGATGTTTTCCCTGATGATGTGCGAAGACCGCATCTCCATGCGGCCGCGTCGTAGCGAGATTATTCAGGGTCTGCACAGGCTCCCTGGTTGGTTTCTTTCACCAAAATGAGTTGCTGGGCGAGTTGGATAGACATCTTGACTTAAACAGCGCAAAAAAGTTACATAAGGAAGAGACAACAGGAAGGAAAGAGTGCTTGTTTTTTTGCACTCTTTTTTTTTTTTGCACTGTTTAAGTCAAGATGGTTTCTTTCAGTCCCAAATCTTCTGAATGCTTTTTTTTTTATTTCACTCTAACCAATTTTTTTACATTATGCATTTATTTGAAATTCAGACCAGATCAAGGAGGTGCTAAAGTTGGATGATGAAGTGAAGCAGCTGGCACAGCACCTCTACCAGCAGAAGTCTCTCCTGGTCATGGGCCGCGGCTACAACCACGCCACTTGCCTGGAAGGCGCTCTGGTCTCTGGCATCATACTTTCCCACTTGCTCTCTCATTCATAGATCATAAGCTTGACTTTATCTACTTCTCTTAGTGTCTCGATATTGCCATAATTTTTTTATTTTTTATTTTTTTTTATTTGTGAGACTTTGAGGCTAAAAGAAAACTTCCCAGGGATTGCAAAAAGTTGTCCAAATGGATTACTACCTCAGTTTCTTTGTAAGAAAGCTTTTATGATGATGATGATGATGATGATGATGATCATCATCATCATTATCATCGTCTGTTCACTTTGTGTGCTTGTGACCAGCTAAATGGCCTCTGTAGCGGCACCAGGCGATCCACAATTAAAAAAAAGCGCCCGCGCGACTAAACGAGGCGCAAGACAGTCGGCCAATATTCGAGCACCTGCAACGCCAGCTCCGAACACCACCGCAAGCAACTCTGTTTTAGCTTTTGTATATAATGTAAATAAATTAGTGTAAGGCCAATGAACCCTTCACCTCTATTATGATGCACATAAAGCAGATTTTGAGATGTGGGTGCCTGCTGAATGTCGTTATACAAATGTTCTACGTAGGTCATGAAAGCATCTAAGACAGTGTGAGTAACGAAGGAAGTAGCAAGAAAGCTCAATAACTGAGTAGTGCCGGGATGTAGCTGCTTTGTGCTGATGTACACAGTTGTGTCAGTGTGGACATCTAGCCTACTGTACGCACTTGACACTGAACTGCGGCCTGAATGGTGGTCGTGACGAAAGTGTGTGCTGGTTTTTCGGGTGCAGAAAATCAAGGAGCTGACATACATGCACTCTGAGGGCATCCTAGCCGGAGAGCTAAAGCACGGTCCCCTGGCCCTGGTGGACAAGGCCATGCCAGTCATGATGGTGCTCACCCGCGATCCTGTCTTCCCCAAGTGCATGAATGCCCTGCAACAGGTGGGGACGTTGTGCATGTGCGAGATAAACGTTTTGGTTGAAAAGCAGTTTTAATACCGGGACCAGGATTCCGCTTGTTTGGATTCTTTGAAAGATACCCGATAAACAATAAGAGCTCAAGAAGATTTCTGTCAAAATAATCATAGCTACATATTCTCTAAAAGTTTCACCCTGTAGTAATTTGCACCACTTGTGCCTCCTGACCATATTTATTTGATGAGAAATATGTGAAGTTCCTTCGAAGTCTTGAAAATATGATATGTGACTTAATGCTAATTGCATACAGACCCTTTCTTTCCCGAAATGTTGGGCCCAAGGTGCTTAAATATAAAACATAAATGAGTTTCCCTATTAACGTTTTTTTCTAATTCTTTTCTGGAAAGAAAGGGAAACAAATGTTCATTGATATGCATGCCTGAAAAAGCAATAAAATTAATTTTAAAATAATGTGAGAGAACCAGCTTTGAGGCTTCAGCTTCCCTGAATATAAGCTACCTATATAATAATACAAAGCCTTATCTATGGACAAGTGAATATGCTTCATGGCTTTTTTCTGCATTATTGTTACGGTTCTTATGTCATCATTCAGCTTCTGTATGTCTTTCATTTAGTGTCAAGGTTCAGAACACTTTTAATAATAATAATAATAATAATCTTTATTAGCACAAAGAGCGGACTGTGTCCTGGGGGGCGTGCGAGGCGAGAGCAGATAGTAGTACTCATTTAATTAAAAGAGAGGCAAGAGTATATATGTGGCCGCTTATCGCAGATTGTCGTTCTATTGAGGTAAATTCAACAGTGTCGAAAGCTTGTATGGCATATTTTTTACATCTGGTGATTCCAAGTGCTTTTTAAGAAATGTGATATTAAAAGGATAAGTTACCACAGAAAAGTTTTTTTTTTTTTCTTAATTTTATACTTCTTTTTACTACAGTATTCTCAGGGGCAGGCATTAGTGCTAAAAGCTGCAGTGGACAGAAACTTCTCTGTGCTCAAAGAGATAAAAATTTCTCTTTGATACTGTTGAATGTGGCAGCCTATGGCTCACAGTACTCGTAGCCAAAGTGGTAATGCCATTTTAAAATGCTAAACGCGAATTTTGAAAAAAAAAAATTATCAGGCATTTGTTAATTTTTTTAATCTGCGTACAATGATGTTTCATTAATATGAACCCTAACTTGGGGAACAAACTGTGTAAATACATGCATTTTTGCTTGGTTATTATAAATGGCTTACATTATGGATAATCTTGGGGGGGGGGAGGGTGGAAGGGTTTATATTTGTGAGACGTGACTGTAATGAGTTTTTCTTTTGGATCTGGTTTGTCCCGAACGGGTGGCAGAATGTGTGTTCCCTTCACGTTGCAGGTGACGGCCCGCGATGGCCGTCCGATCGTGATCTGCGAGAAGGGGGACGAGGAGACCAAGAAGATGAGCTTCAAGTCCCTGGAGGTGCCCCACACCGTGGACTGTCTGCAGGGCGTGCTCACCGTCATCCCCCTCCAGCTCATGTCCTACCACATTGCTGTGCTCAAAGGATGCAACGTGAGTGGAGTTCTGCCCATTTTAACCTGACCAAAAATACAGTTTATTGGTTTACTGGTACAGCTCACCTTGTTGAGGCTGTAGCAGGTGCAGTAATTAAACAATAAATTTGGAAGACAAAAAAAATTTTTTTGTCTTCCAAATTTATTGTTTAATTATTGCGCCTGCTACAGCCTCAACAAGGTGAGCTGTACTAGTAAGTATATCAATAAACTGTATTTTTAATATTATTTTTAATACTGTATATATATATATATATATATATATATATATATATATATATATATATATATATATATATATATATTTGCAGTGCTTTGCTGCAGGGTGATGCAGACAAATATATTTTTAGTTTCCAGGCTTCAGGGTCATCAGCCCCAATGGGAAACAGCCGAACACCTTGCAAGTTTTAATCAATATCTGATGATTAAAGAAAATTTGTGCATTTGAGGTCCTACGAACTTGAGCATGTATGTGCTGCCCAAATATTCTGAATAACTAAATTGTTTGCTCAAAGGTTGGGCTTGAAGTGTGTTAGGCATAGTATATTTTCGACCAAAGCCAAATTTGATTTACTAGGAGTTGAATAGTGCAACCATGACCTGCTTACTTGGCAATTTCGTTACGCTTCTAATGCATTTTTTTTTCAATTCTTTTTTTCTGGAAATGTTGTAATCAAAAGGGATTGATTCTTTTTACAGATGGGTAGCAATTTGCAAACTGCATATTCTGCACAAAATGAATGACAACATTTGTCCAGCTTTAACAGCGAAACATGCCCGTGCTTTTTATTGCTTTTATTTTCTTGAGGTGCTCTCGGGAGTAAAAAGGGGATGGATGTGTTGGGAAAATAAATGTGACTGTTTTTTTAAGGGAGGTGCACCACATCTTGCTAGGAAACGTTGAATCCTTTGTGCATTGCTTAAGTCTATTATTTTGTGTAGTCACATATTCTATAGGTAAATGCTTTTATTTGGTACAGTGTAGATGTAACATTCAGTATTTGAAAATGTTTTGTGTGCTTTTGCAAGATGAACGGGGACCATGTTGGTAAAGGTGCAACCACCGAAAGTAATGAAAACGCAGGACAGAGGACACTCGCACATTTCAACCATAACTACAGCATTTGCTGTTATCCACTGCAATTCAGCAGCCCTTCCTCGTCCACGACCAAACGAGAGAAGAACATGGAGGAAAAACTGGAAAGAGGCAGAAAGATATGTGCCATAGTAAATGGCTGATATAAATTTGGAAGTTGCTGATGTGACATGACATGATGTCACATGATAAGTTTGAGTGTCTCACGGGTCTAAGTCGACCCTCAATAATTCAAACTCCAAAAAGCCACAGACTTCAGTTTGAAATATCAGAAGTTTGAATTATAAAAAAATCAAAATATTATGTGAGGCAAAGTAGCGACTTGCTATATTAATAGCTACACATACCTAGCAGATTTCTTACACTTTCCTCTACACAGGCCTATTTATAAGCAGGCACACTCATGAAACATTGGTGAAGTTCGAAGTGAATAGTGGTTTTAGCCGAATGTTTTTAACTGAGTATTGAATAATTTCTCCAAACCTATTACTATTGTTGTACCATGCTTGAAAATTCAGCTGAACTCGTGAAGGTTGTTCACAACCTCCCACTTGTCCACTCCTAAGCTCTGTCAGTCTTAAGGCGAAAGCCTTTCTTGTCCCATTACGCAAAAAAGTGGCAGCGTTGTGCCCAAAAGATGGTTACACCCATACGTCATCAAGCACGAAATAAAACACGAAGAAAAGCACAGCAATGCAGAGGCTTCATCTCTGAAGCCATTGTGAAGCCTAGTATAACTATCTATCAACCGTGGCCTCAGAAAGTCAAATGCCTACTTTGGGGTGGCATGTGAATGACAGGTGTGACATGAAATTAAACCTAAAAAGACGCCCAGCTATCCTAATCGAGGGGATTAGTAAATCTACTTCCTATATGCAAATATTCTTTCTTTAATCTCGAATTTAACCCCCTCAGAAATATTTAAAAAAACAATCACGAATAATGAGAGCAGATTGTCGGGACAGTTCCGCTTGCATAATCGCGCTGGGAATTAGTCCCATCGAGTCCGCTACTGAGCACCCGCGTGCTGCGGAAAAGCGATGACCGCGAGCTTCGCGGGTATTGCTTTCCCGCAGTACACAGGGGCTCGGTGAGAAGCGCACTCAACGGGGCTAACCCGCCGCGGTAAACAAACTGCATAAATTAAGCGAAAAAGCTGTTTCGATTATGCAGCTTATGAATGCATTAAAAACATAGCGGAGCAAAAAAAAAATTTTAAATTCGTTCAAATTAAATAAGTATGAAATATACGAGCTTGAATTATGGCAAGTCCACTGTAAATAAGAAACTGACAATATCATAAAAAAAATAAGTTCGAATTTTTTTTTTTAAGAAACAAATTGGAAAGAATTGTTATTTAAAGCAGATAAGAATAAAATACAATTTGGATAACAACAAGAATGCAAAAAAGGAAAATTAGACACAGGGCCAGTAATACATGTTTTCTTGCACAGTGTGCGGTAATATATGAAGGATGCAGTAAGTGTGGGTGAAAGCACTTTTATATTGTCTCTTATGTTATGGTGGACAATCTCTTATATAATAGGAGACTGCATTTGATAGCCACCTTACTGCTTGAGATATGTTTGGTTCATATCTATGATGGCCGATGTGCTTCCGGGATAATTTTCACATCTTATTGACAGTTGTGTTTTCTTTCTTTTTTTTCAGGTCGACTGCCCAAGGAATCTGGCCAAATCTGTGACAGTCGAGTGAGGAGGCGAAACAAGAGGTCTACCCTGCACTGCAGATTTTATACTGAACTTCACTTCTGCATTTTTTTACATTTCTGACATGCTGCTATCCATGCACGAGTCGTATTTTGTTTGTTCTTGCTTCTATAATTTATGTTCAGTGTTCCAAATGAGCTGCTACAACAGGTCACTTTATTTTAAGGCTCAGAGCTAATGGTTGTCAAATAAAAGCAGCCATTTGACATATTTAGTTATGCAAGTTATACAACTTGAGGCTTGTGCAATTTTGTTTCCAACATTTTGTCTGTGTATGACCTGTTTTATATTATTTGAGAAGGTACAGGGTTTCTCTTTCATGCTTTTTTTTGCTTTTTTTATTTTGATATATGGCTATAGATCTTTAATTGGCTTGTAAATATCTTGCCAAACTCATTGCTGCTCTCTTTATTAAAGGTGTTACATCTCCTGTTATATGCTACATAATACAATATATGAAATAAACCATTTTGAGGGGATATACCCACACTGAATATTTTGTTTTTATTGCAAGCTGTTTTAAGAGATAAGATGGCTGAAGTATTTCTATGTTGTCATATTTAGAGTCCCCTGAAATACACACCACGTTAAATTAATACATTCACTGTGCTTTTAAAAGCCCTCAACTACAAAAGTTGGCCTAGAGGCAGGGATTAGCAAACAGTGATGTTTTTGGATTTAATATGAATCCAATGTTTGCTTTATCTGAAAAATACTTAATTTAATAATCTAGAATGTAGCAGCAAATATTATATTTTGTACACCCTAGCCTTTGTCGCTGCTGCGACATTAAAGGGGCCCTGCAAGGACTTTTTTTACTGGTTTTTAATTTGTACTGAGCCTAAGCGCTCTGGACGTAGTAACTTAATGAAGCTTTTCTTTTCTCGAATTTCGCTTTATTTTAAAAGCTATAGGCAAATTAAAATTACAAAAACAAGCAAAAATTAACCTCCTTGGTCGCTTGAGTGGCCGTGAAATAGAGGAGGGGTTAGTGAGCTCAGCGAGCGCTCGCGGCTGCTGCACTCCGTGTCGACAGCTCGAGAGGGCGCCACTAAAGCTTGTTCTGGATAGGCTATATGAAGCGGGCAGCCAGGGCGGCTCTCATTGCATTTTCTACACGATTAAACACTAATTCGGCATGACAGTTTATTGGCCACAAACGACAGCAAGCATGGCGTAAAGATGCTGCCATACCGCCAAACTGCCAAACCGCAAGCCAAACCCTTGCCGAAGGCCTTCGGAACGCTCGGAATCAGTCGGATCCTCGAGCTTGTATACGACCGCAGCACCGCTACGTACATCCGGGACCTTTCTGCGCTCTCCGCTCGTCGGTGCCTGATCACACTGCACCTTCCTAGCATGCGCTAGAGTTCCTGTATAGTGTATAGGCCCTACGGGAGCCAGAGTTGCGCGTCTGTTTTCCACGTGTTGCCGCGACGCTATTCGCCGAGATCCGATCACGTGAGGAGCTGGATCAAATGCCGTGCAGGAAAGTAGACGCTGTGCGCGCCCCGGCTTACGTTCCCCTGCTTTTGAGTGCGCCGCGTGCCTCGAACACGCGGCGCCGCTATTCGCCGAATTCAGTCACATGAGGAGCGGGATCAACATGCCGTGCAGGAAAGACGACGCTACGGGGATGAACGCGCAACTCTGGCTCTCGTAGGGAGCCTACAGGAACTCTAGTATGCGCCGCCTTTTCCATTGCCTGGTGGCGGGTATGTCGACGGGTCATTTCTTGTTTCCGTACTTTATAAACTGCATTTGTTTCTTTTTTGATCTCAAATACTGAACAAAAACTACTTTTATTAATAATTGTAATGGTCCGCTCCCCTTTTTTTTTGTATTTCGACTGAAAAGAAGCTTTTAGCGACTCTGACCAGTAGTAAGCCCAGGATCAAAGACTCTCTCTGTGCCCGCCGGCTTGCCCGAACCCGAAGAGACGTGGAAACCGCAAAAAAGTTAGACACTTAAATATGATTGCAGAGCCCTTTTAAGCACCAAAACTAATTAGGATATTCTACAGAACATGAAAGTGTAATCCTAATTAAGGTTTCAATCTCTTTCCTTATCAGTATTTCCAGTTTAAATATAAAACAAAATTCACACTTTTTTTTTTCTGCAATGATGGCCACAGTCAGCAGCATGAAGTAAGATAGGTCATGCTTCAAGAAATGTGTGAAATTGTGCAAGTTTATCACAAGCGTAATTTGATTTTCATAAATTCATATTTTCTATAAATCCATAAGAATATAAAAATAATTGCAGTATGAATGCGAAATGTTATTTTATGGCAATTTTATCTATAAACTTCACATGCAAATTGTGACTATTCGTGGCATGCATGGGGCTCTGCACCATTTTTGCTGTGTTTGCAAAACAGCTGAGGTTGGGTTATATCAAAATAAAAATTGTATTGAAACATGTACACCCATGTAAGCACTAAATAGATAATTTGATATGGGAGACTTCATTTCAGAACTTCGGCACAAAATTTGCATTGTCAACACTACCTGGAAAACTTTCTTTCAGCAGTGCCTATAACTTTTCTGTGGGAGGGTGATGAGCAAGGAATTGAATATGCCTAGCAGTTTATCCACAGTGTGGCTAGTATTAATAATCTTGGAGACTTGGCAGCACACTTGGAAAATGCTGCCAAATCTTCTGGCATGAATATACTTTTTTTTAAGAATGCCCCCAAGCGAATCCATCTGGAGGGAGTTATTTTCACTCCACGCCCTGTTGCGCTGCGAACAAGACACCTCTGCCGTGAATGGCACTTTGCCGCAGTGCACAGGTGTAGGGTGGGAAGTGCCCTCAATAAAGCAAAAACATTCCGTCATATAGTTTTTTTTATTAATTTATTTATAATATTTTGAAAGTCCATTTCTGGACATTGCACAAGGTGGGGATTTGGTCAGATTACAGTATAATCAACACTTAAAAGAAAAAAAAGAAAAAAAAAACTACTAACAGGATAGCAATATCAACTGAAAAACCACTTGAACATATATAAGATATATGTTCATATATAATTATATATTATCTTGACTGATTGGAGCCCATTGTTCTATTTGAATGTCGAATCCAATACATTGATGCTGAAAACGCTATTTTAAGTTTTTGAGACCATTGAAGAGGATAAGAGAAAGCTATATACCCGAAAATGAGGAACAGTAAAATACGCTGTAATCATTTCTTTCTCTCTTTTTATTTGAATGTGAAAGCATTAATTCCATGGCGTTATCAGTTTTTGAAGCCGCGCCAAATGTCACCTAAACTCTCCTGTCTCGGTGGAACGAAACCTGTCGTGTGTAGCAGTGATCTGATGGATAGGCCCCCATTGGCGGGCGCACGTCATAGTTTCAAGGAACGAGGCTCCCATTGGCTCTCGTGCAGCATAGTTCTAAGGAACGCCACCAGAGAAGCCCTCTCCATGGCGGCGCAGCGGCCCGGCCGCCAGTAAGAGGGAGCGGCTGGCCGCCGAGCCAGCAGAGCCCGCACGGGCCTATGGCACGGGCAGATTCCGGAGTGGCTGCACGGCCGAGCTCAGCGTGGCGCGGCCACTTCACGAGAGCGCGCGCTCGGCCGTCGGGAGGCGCAAGCGGATCGCGATTCAAAGCTTCTCAGGCGGCAAGAAGACGAGGCCCTTCGACATGCAATGCGAGGCAGAAGCAATACGTCGCAGGCGGCATGCTTTCGCATTCACAACTCGTATTGCTTAGGTGCACCCTCAGACTTTTTTTAGCCAATTTTTTTAATACCGAGGATTTTTGATGTTACCAACATCTGAAGAAGAAGAAACAAAGGAACCTTGACGCCTTGACCTATCTGTGTCCCGTCATTGTCGTTGTTTTGAGATGACAAGTGACGCGAGAAAGGGAGACCTCAATCAGCACTTCCCACTGAGGGTGTACTCGATCGGCGGGGACGATAAAGAACTTCGAAGCCCCATCTTTAAAAGTCGTCCGGCTCCAGTTGAGGAAATTAAGCCTTGTTGGAACGTCATAGAAAATTTTCCATGACGTTGTGCACAGCATAGCATCAGCATTGTATGATTTGATATTTTGCTCTCTGATATATCTCCAATGGCAGTCGCGGCCAGAAAGTATGCATCGTGACTGATGTCTCGGCCTTCTTTTTTTGTTTGATTTACTCAAACGCGTTACGCATATCCTTTTCTTTTTCTCTATCGGTTGATTCCACTAAATATTTTTTTGTACCAATTCCCACTCAGGCACTGCATCTGTACATTTACAACACTCTGCCCACTTTTAGTGGGCGGGCTATCCGGCTGCTCTGGATTCGACTTTGCCACATATGGACACTGTCTCCAACTCCTTTCTGTTTTCACAATTCTCACGATTTTTAAGGTATATTCGTCTTGCATTTCTTGGGATCTCAAAGCTTGCATAATTGTTCACTTGAACTTATCCGATTATAAGCCGCAGTGGCAAGGGGATGGCAAGGGGGTGGCAAGGGGATGGAAAGATGAGTCAGAAAGTCAAGTCAAGCCAATTAAAAAGCCAAACCGAGACCTGTTTTCTGGTCTGGCCGCGTCCTGTCGTCTCTGTCGTCGTGAAACTTTCTGACTTTACTTCGTGCTATGGTTGTAGGTTTGCATTACCTAAGTTCACAGTAAGTATGTTGTGTACATTTAGTTCCTTCATCGGCGAAAGAAGAGACGCCCAAAAGAGTTGGTGCGGTGATTAAAAAACAGTTAATGCCTTCATAACGGAAGCATGGCGGTAAAGGAGGCCAGGGAAGCCCAGTCAGGTAAGTTGTCATTTTCCTAATCTGAAATGTTTTTCAATTCGTCCGCTTTGTGCTCATTGGTCCTGCGTAGTTTCCGAAGCGGCATAGATGACGTCTGAAACGCCTTGCGAAAGAGAAGCACCACATCTTATCTATCGAAGTGGGCGTTCTTGCTGGCTGCTGCGACGCTTTCGCTCATATCGGATTTGATCGCGTTCCCCACTCTTCTCCGTAAAAAAACAAATGCTTCTTCCCACATAAAAAAAAAAAAAGTACTTAATATACCAGAGTGGTTTGCTGCGTTTTCGTCTGGCCTCGTATCTTTTTGAAAGTGTCATGAACTTCTGACAGCTTCTGTCAACTGGTTCTGGATTAGTCGCAACAGAACACTTCAGTTGCTCATACTTTATTTCTTAATAAGTAGAAGTAGTTAAGCGTTAACTGGACTTTATTACTACAGCATCTAAAACCTATCACAATAATTAAAAAAAAAAGAAAAAAAGCTTTTTGGCGGAAATTATATGCTGGATTTTAATTCTGAAAAGCAAAACTAGAAAAGACATCATACACGATTCTACCGCGTGCCCCCTAATCTGGGTGAAGCCTTTAAAGTGACCACGTAATTCGGCTTGGTAACGTATTATGCTGCAATTCACCGCAGAGGTGTTCGAAGGTGGTTAAAGCATCGCATGAACATTTCAAAGAACAAACTTACCCGAGCGAAAAGAAAAGAAACAATACCTGGTTTTCTCTACATACGGCGCCTGTCTGCTAACCACGCACCCTTTGATTAGCGCAACAACCTACAGATGGCAGCAGTGGCCCTAGCAGCTTAAGAAGACTACTACTAGTAGTGCACCGGGAACTACGTCCGCCATGTTGGTAGCGGTGAGGAAACAAAACCAGCGACTGGAATGGCGTAGAACACATCAAAATAAACGGCCATGCCTTGTTTGACAGGTGCAGTGCCAACACATTGCTGCGCTATGCTGTGTTAGCAGCGAGTGACCATAAATCTCTGCTAAAGCAAGGTGCATATGCTTTTCTTTTTTTTTTACTTTGCTAATTTACACTGGTTTTGACAATAAAAAACATAGCCAATGCGAAGAAATGTGTGGACATTCTTGCTCGGCGTAAACATGCTTATAACTGTTGAACTGAGTCGAAATTACAAATACATGAAAGGATAAGATATCGAGGATGGGGACGGAAACAGCTTTCATTTAACAACAACAACATAAAATGACTCAACTGGTTAGTTGTGTCATTCTATGTGAATAGGTAGTTATGTTATTCTATGTGAATAGATACGAATACATTTCATGTATTCGTATCTGTTCATGAACACGCTCGCTTTCAATTATTAATGAAGTTGACTAACGTAGAAGTTTGGGCTAGTTGATATTTTATGATTAAAAATTAAAACAGCGCAAGGGCATGGACAAGAACAAGAAGGTAGACGAACAAGGCGCTGACTTACAAGTCAGCGCCTTGTTTGTCTACCTTCTTGTTCTTGTCCATGTCCTTGCGCTGTTTTAATTTTTAATTTAAAATATTATTGAGTCCAAATTCTTTCATGAAGTTTTACTGGATTAATTTCTGAATTAGCATTCTTTTCTGGTGCGCGTTGTAGGGTCGGCCTGCTTTTTTCATGGTGAGAAAGCAGCTCAGTGTATGTAAACCAGACTAAGTGAGGGAATGCAAAGTAAAAAGTCATATTAAAAAAACAAAACAAAAAAGCAATCGCTAGCAACCAGAAAATAGTATTATTGCATAGCAGCGAGTCTTACACACTTGATCTGGCATCGATAAACAAGGTTTTTAAACATCACTAGCTTTAAAACTAGGCAGGAGAGTATTGGTCAAATAATCATTAGAATGCAGGAATGCAGATCGGGAAACAGAACAATCACGGACAGCGGGAAACAGAACAGACACAACTTTCACAGAGGCAGGATTTTCTTGTCATTTTATCAAATGCCACGTTTGATTACATCACTTCCTTAGGTTTATCGCAGTAGCTAATGCATTGATCTCGGCTTTGGCAATAAAGCGACACAACGCTGCGGACACCAAGTTGAGAGTGGGAGAAACACCATCGACACCAACTTCATTGCGGAGCCTCTCATTTGTTTCTTGCCATAGCTGAGATCAAACTTGTTTATTGCAGAAGAGATCGTCGGATAGTCTTGCGAACGTCGTGCTTTAGAAATTCTAAACCGATCTGAGTCAGTGTTGCCGAATTGTGGAAATTTTCCAACCTCGTGTGGAAAGCCTAATGCCAGGGGGTAAAGATAAACTTAATTTGAATGCATGTAAAATATATATTTAAAAATAAATATATTTCTTATTTTACATGCGTTCGAGTTTAGTTCCCCGCTGTCCCTTGGAGCTATGTTTGTTTGAAATTTCCCACGATTCGGCATCACTGATCTGAGCTCTTTGCGATGCCTGCAAAATAACACCAGGGGTGCAGTTTGCTTTCCAGGAACTTGAAGCTTCTAATTGATTGAAGCTTTCGCCAGCACGTATTAAAGAGTTAAGATGGTCGTCGATATGCTTCTACCACTAAACAGCATAACTGGCACCTCTGCGTCGAGAAAAGAATTGGAAGAGTTCTCAGAAATGAGAGGCACAACTGTTGGGTCCTTCATCCATGATGGGTGATTGGAAGTTGAAAAATGAAAGCCGTTTACAAATCCCTGTAACGCCGAATTGGAGCGCAGCCCTTGAGGAGGAGTAGGGAAGGGTACTGGGGGGGGGTCACGTCACCTGCGGGTAGTCACGTGACCCCGGGGGGGGGGGGGGGGTCACGTGATCTCGGGGGAGGGGGGGTCACGTGACCTCGGGGGTGGGGGGGGGGGGGGCGGGGGGTCACGTGACCTTGGGGAGGGGGGGGGTCACGTGACCTCGGGGGGGGGGGGGGGGGTCACTTGACCTCAGGGGGGGTCACGTGAGCCCCCCCAGTTACGCCAACGCCGACGCCGCTCAGGCTGGAAACGGGCCCCTAAGAGCTGCGCTCTAAAACTCTCTAGTTATTACATCACAATCACTGACCGACCACAACTGCCCTTGAAATGCCAAGAAACCGATACACAAGAAACTTGATGCTACCAAGAAGGCCGCATGCCAGTGGCGTAGCCAGGAGGGAGGCTTATGGGGCTTCAGCACGCCCTGAAATCCAGCCAACCCTAAAATATAGGCATGCGCTTTGACCTCCGGACTTGGCGGATTCGTGATGTCACTTTACCCAGCAAGAGCAAGGCTACGGGGAGGCTGGTTTGGTTATGAGCTTCGCCACTTGGTGGCACCAACGTATTACAACCTAGCTGTTTCTGATGCCTGAGGACTGATTTGGCAATGCCAGCAGAGGCGAAAAAGTGACTCACCTGCGCTTCAAACTGTTCAAACTCCACCGACCTCCTCCCATTTTCAGTCTCATTTCCTCTCCTCGCAGGAGTTGAATAGGCGCAGGAGAGAAGGGAAATCAGGCTCAACCTAGTACGACAAGGAGTGCGCGAGCACAGCTTGCCACCATGCTTTTGCGGAGCGACGCTGCTTTTACGGGAGTGTTGACGTAACAGCATTCGAAGTAGCTTTGGGAACATCCACCAGGTGCAATCTAATAATCGGTTTATTCGTTTTAAATAAAATTATGGTGTCTTTTTGGACAAAAAATTGGTGTCTTGATGGTGTTGCCGAAGGATAGTTGTCATTTAGACAATAAAATAGGCACTAGAATTTTGTCACCATACCCCTTTAAAGCTTGTGTATGGTCTGTCCAGCATGGGAGGACCCACTGCGTGGCGGCCAGGGCAAGCGGCACCCCATCATCCTGCAGCAGAGTGTCACCATGCTGGCCTACATGGACAAGAACAACGCCTCTGCCCAGAAAACCCCCACCTCCTTTTGGGATTCCATGGGTGTGACCCACTCCAGGGACCTCCCCATTCTAGTCGGGGCTGCCACAGGTACGCCCTACAGCTGTGCATGTTTGTGCTTCATACTCCCACCTCTCATGGTTAGTTTTCTTCTTTGAGCGTGCCTGTTAGGAGTAGTGGAGTGGCTCAATGGAACAACAAGATATCTTCACATGGTGTGCTGTACCGGGCAATGTGCCTTGCGACATCAAATCACACTATATGTGGTTATGACATAAACACTTATTTTTTTCTTAAACATGCTTCCACGTCCTCATACACTCGCAAAAAAGGATACAAACTGTTTGATTGTAAAAATAGTCAGAGAATACATTTGATTATAAAGCTAAGACACTACCAAACATTTTTGTTTCTGTTGTAAAGTTGTATTTGCTGAGCAAAACAAATAAAGTCAATCTGAAATCAGAGTGGGGTGGTACAACAACATTATTGCTCTGGAGTCACTTGCTTAGTTTCAATGAGTAACTGCCCACAAAAGTTAGGAAGTTGTGCCCAAAGGATACTGGGTAAAAAATCCATTCTCATAAGCACAGTACTACTGCTTATGGGAATGGATTCTTTCTATGACTCTCGGTACATGGTCAACAACATTAATAAATTAACAAAGAACAGTCATTAATATCCATCCAATATAAATTTGATGATTTATTTCAAAACGTAAACCAGAAGCGGGCAATTCTTATTTTGTTCAAGCTATATTGATGTTTCAGCTGACATGCTCAACGATAAAATTGTTTTCTTTTTTGCAATCCACTTCTCAAGTATTGCTAGTCACGTGGTTGGTTATCTTGTATCTTTAGGGCACAATTGCAGTGATGTGATTGCCGCATCATTTGTGCCAAACTGCTCCAAAGGGCTTACCCTGCTACATCCTGCCACATTTAGCCCAAATGCGAGGAACTTGCACCAACATTGCTCCAAAACTTGATTTCACTTTATTATATATAATGGCTCAGGGCCTGCTTCATGTCCGGATCGTTCTGGTAGGCTTGTACGAATTTTCGGAAGTTTCGATTTTAGCCACAAATAATGTACTATCCTATTTGATCTCTTTATTGGTGTAAAACACTGACAGTACTCGTAATTTTTGCAATATCTCTTATGTTCCTAGTCTGCTGTGGCGTGCAAGTTAGCTTCGTTGAATGCGCTCCTCATTGCGCTCTTGTGTACTGCAGTGAAGCGGTAATTGTGAAGTAAGCATGGCAGTTTTGCTTACCTTGCTTCGCTGCAGTGCATCCAAGTGCTAAAGGGAAAGCGTTCCCCCAGAGCGGAACGTTAAAGGGCTACTCGACCGAAATTTCGAGCCCATAAAACAGGGCATGAGCGATAGGTGGTACGATGCAGAACCCCAAAACGCCACTCATACAGCAATATCTCTAACGGATGGAAGTATTTTTGTAAAAGAAATGCGCGATGGAAGGCCGACGAGACGTGATGTCACGATTCTCATTCCCTCAACTCCTCGCTTCATCCCGTCGAGTTGGTGAACCGGAACCAGGAAGAGAGAAGGAAGGCCGCGTCTCCTCATCCTCAACGTTTTTAGGAGGGTCGGGATGTCAGTGTCCCCGCTTGATAGCGCCCTTCTTTTAAAAAAATACGGCCATCCTTTTGAGATATTGATGTATGAGTGAGGTCTTGGAGTTCGTAGAGTCCTGTTCAATGCTTTTGCGGCCTTATTTTGCAAAATCCGAATTCTGGTTCAGTATCTCTTCAATACACGCAGGCGTCGGGTGTATCAAAAAGGGAACTTCATGAGTATTAATGTAACAGCTCAGTTGCAGTAAAAATTTCTGAATTATGCTGTGGCAATTATTTATGATAGACTACGGTATTCTATATATACCTTTTTCAAATTGGTGATTTATCGAGGGTACTCGCATTAAAATTTATGTAAACTGTTTTACAGGCTGTTTTATTATTTTTTGAACTCTGTTGTTTAGTTGTCACTTTTATGTATGTTTTATCCGTTTGAGGTGCAGTCAGTAGAATAAACTCAGTTAGGTGAAGCAGTGGAAGGAAGCTTGGGAATAACCTGAACAACTTTGGCAGGATTGTTTTAAGAAGGCATACTTATTGTTCACATGGCAATTTCTGTTATTATGAAGTTCTACATACAAAATGTCATTAATTTTCATAAATTAATAATAATTTCTTTTAGAGCGCAGCTCTTAGGCGCCTGTTTCCGGCTTGAGCGGCGGCGCCGTCGCCGTCAGTGTAACCGCAAGCCACCCCCCCCCCCCCCCCCCCGAGGACCTTGGGAGGACCTCGGGTTCTTTCGGTGGGGAGTCACGTGACCGCCCCCCCCCCCCCCCACTCTTCAAGATCATGTAACCCCTGCCCCCCTCAGTACCCTTCCCTCCTCCTCCTCAAGAGCTGTGCTCTAATTCGGGGTTACAGGTAGTTGTAAACGGCTTTCACTTTTTAGAGCGCAGCTCTTAGGGGCCCGTTTGCGGCTTGAGCGGCGTCGCCGTCGCCGTCGGCGTCGGCGTAATTGCGCGGTGCATCATGGGAAATGTCCCATAATGCACCGCGCGAGCCCCCCACCGGGGTCACGTGACCTCGTGGGGGGGCACGTGACCCCCCCGAGGTCACGTGACCCCGGTGCATCATAGGAAATGTCCCATAATGCACCGCGTGAGCCCCCACCGGGGTCACGTGACCTCGTGGGGGGCACGTGACCCCCCGAAGTCACGTGACTCCCCTGAGGTCACGTGACCCCCGCCGATGTCGCGTGACCCCCCAATGACGTCATCGTCAGTGATGACGTCACCGGCATCCACATCGTCATCGTCATCATCACTGATGACGTCACCGGCATCCACATCGTCATCGTCATCATCACTGATGACGTCATCAGTGACGTCACTGATGTCGTCACCGGCATCCACATCGTCATCGTCATCGTCACTGATGACGTCACCGGCATCCGCATCATCATCGTCATCATCACTGATGACGTTATCGTCATCGTCATCATCACTGATGACGTTACCGACATCCGCATCGTCATCGTCATCATCACTAATGACGTCATCAGCGACGTCACCGACATTCGCATCGTCATCGTCATCATCACTGGTGAAGTCATCAGTGACGTCAGTGATGACATCATCGGCATTGGGGGTCACGTGACCAGCCAAGGTCACGTGACCCCCCCCTGGTTAGTTTAACCCCCCCCCCAGTGCCCTTCCCTCCTCCTCCTCAAGAGCTGCGCTCTAATTCGGCGTTACAGGGAGTTGTAAGCAGCTTTCACTTTTTTATGTGCATTTTTTTTTATGTGAATGAAACATCAGTTTTCTAACATTATTTTACTGGAATATACTTTTTGGATTACATTTTATATTTTACCTGAAATTACCATTCACAGCAGTCCATACTGTCTTTCATCGATCAGCATCTTGTTGCCATGCCTAGCGCTTCTATGTGAAACTAAACAGCTAGTGCTGTGTTCAAGGAAATCAAACCTGCCGTTGCACAGAAGTGTGGAGGCAAAGCACGCACATATTTTAGTTGGATAAGCCAACATAGTAGTCGTATAAATAAAAATGAAGTGTGTGCTCGTGCTCTAAAAGTACTTCTTACTGCTCCATAATTTACTTTTGGCTGCTCCAAAAGTGCTACAAAATGACTCGGGTCAATCGCATGACTGCAACTATCTAACTTTGTGGTAGTATAACTAACAGGATGAGAGGTATTGGGCATGTGTATGCATGTCTGTTTTTAGTGGGGTGAAGTGTTGATTTAACAAAACTGACACAATCTCGTATGGTCTTTCTATATTGAGTTAATAATAGTGTCCTGCATGGTCCCTAGAAAATTAGAGAATTTCTTGCATGGTACTAGAAAATTAGAGAAACAGGCAATTGAGAATTTGTAGTCTTGTGTGTCACACACTTTATGTTCTTCTCTCGTCTTGTTATGCAGGTGCCATTGGCCTAATTGTGATCATCCTGACAGCTGTGGTTATATGGCATTGCTGCACACGGAACGGCAGTAACGACAAAGCCTATGGTGAGCCTGGTTCTCTAACAAGTTTGCACAGCTTATTGTTGGAACTTGCAGCATCACAGTGACATTCCTGGCAGTGCTGGCATCCTGCTTTACATTTTCACTTTTCTCTTTGTGCTGTTGTTGATTCCTATACCTTAGTTTGCTCGTTCCTTGTGGGGACTCAAATTGCTGAGCATTGTTGTATCCATGGCTTGCAGTGAATGTTTCACATTTTTGTATGCAACATGCAAACCGGCATAGCCAAACCATTGTTTGGTTATGCCGGTTTCTGCTTCTTGGTTGATGATTTGGGTTCCTGCTTTCAGTTGTGGAGAACCTGAGTCGCAGCAGCAGTGTGTCGAGACCAGCCACATCAAACATGGTGCAGAGGTGGGTCCTTGGATGCCTCGTGCTCAGCTTTTCTGCTAGTGAAATCGTTGTCTGACCAGTGAACAAGTATTGTGAAGAAGCACTTATATTACTGTGTTCACAGCTTCTATGACTGTCATTGCTACTTGCAAAGATGTTTGTGTGTGACAACAGCTCTTGTGATTAGCAGCAGCAAAAACGAGAGAATTATAGTCCGTTGCAACCTAAGAACAAAGGGCGAGGGTAAGACGGGCCAGGGAGGAGGAAGCAGACGGAACGCTGGAGAAGAGAGGGAAACCTCCTTCTCTCTTTAGCGTTCAGTCTGCTTCCTCCTCCCCAGCCCGTCTTACCCTCGCCCTTCGTTCTTAGGTTGCAACGGACTATAGTCCTCTTGCTAGTTTTGACATTTATGCTCCCAACTAAAGCATGACATTAGATTAGTTATGAATGTTTGATTATAGATGAATTGAATTTATGCTTGCATATATGGGACTCATTTCTTTTTGTGCATTTTCGAAGTCCAAGTAGCCACCTTTGGACATTAGTAAGCACCTTTAATAGTTTTGAAAGAGAAGACATACCTGTCTCATATTTATGCTGTAGTCTTATATGATAGGATAGATTTACAGTATATATCGGGTGGATGAAATACCCAGGTTCGGTCAAAAATGGGCCATTAAAATCGACACCTGCACATAGCAATCTAAACTTTTCGTCAAAGGTGCATTTTACAGGTCGGTTTTATCATGCAAAATTACAAAGCGTAGCTCCCTTTGTGTAAAATTGGGGCCAAATAACTTGCCAGGGTCAACGGCGGGCAGCGAAGCAGACGACAGAGTCGAGTGGCGGGGCGTGTTATGCGCTCGTATTGATAGATGGCGCTACCCCCTTGGTCTGGCTTGCGTTGAAAGAAATATTGAAAGTGCCCACGTTCTAGCTGCCGACGAATTTCGTCTGCGTGTCTTCTGCTTTCTTTCGCAGGTCAGTTACACCTTTTGCTGCTCCCGAGACCTTTCTTGTCACTGTTGGGGGGGAAAACAGCCATTACGTGTCACTTGACAGTCCAAGAAAGGGCACAGGTAGTCCTTTGGTTTACAGAAACCAGGCGCATGAGGCAAGTAAGCTCGAAGTTTCGAGCCATTTTTCGTAGGTGTCCACCCACCTGTCGGACTGTCATGTGCTGGGCAAACCGATTCAACACGGAGAACACGGTGGGAACCAGGCTGCGAGCACGCGAAGAGAGGTTGCCACAGCGGCACAAACGTCACACTGTGCTTGTGACATTTGCATTCAACCCATGGTTGTCCATGCCAAAGGTCACAAGACAGCTTAATATCAGTAGAGTATTCGTCTGGAGGGTGATCTGCCAACAAATGTATCCGTTCAAGCCACAGGTCCTGTTCGAGCTGCAGCCTGATGACTATGAACGGCGAAAGCAGTTCTGCGTAGACGAACTTGGGCACATCTCCACAAACAGGAACCACCTTCAATTCCTGCTTTTCACGGATGAGGCTATTTTATATCTGGACGGTCATGTCAATAAGCAGAACGCCCGCTGCTGACCCAAGACAAACCGTCATTGGATCATTGAAGAGGCTGTCCAGTCACCAAAGGTCGTAGTATGGTGTGGACTTTGGAGGGAAGGCGTTGTCGGCCCATTCTCCTTTGAGGGCACGGTCACTGGCGATGCCTACCTTCGCCTGCTCCAATAGGACGTCTTGCCGGAGCTGAAACTTTACACATGCAAAGGGAGGTGTGCACCTTCCATGAAGATGTTGCATCCCCGCACTATGCCACTGCAGTGAGGGATTGGCTTGACAGGACCTTTCCCGGCAACTGGTTGGGTCGAAGGTCACCGACAATGCCGTGGCTCCCACAGTTCCCTGATCTGACAATTTGTGATTTTTTTGTTTGGGATTTCTTAAAAGCCCAAATCTACAGAATTTGCCTGTGCACGGTGTTGGAAGTAAAGCAGCAGATTATATCCGCCTTCGATGCTATTAGGACGACATGCAAAAGGCAGCCTTCAGGGATTAGGTGTGAAGACTGCACAAGTGTGCATGTTTACTGAAAATAATGTATCGAACCGTTTTGTACATATGACTAGCGCCTTTGACAACTGCGGGCTTCTACTGACGGGTTCTTTTCAGAGCCATTAATTGCTGTTTATTTAGAGTTCGCTTTGGTAGCCTCCAATGTCTCAAAAGTGCAGTCCAAGCAGCATCCAGTGGGACGCATTGTGGCTGTTTTCCCACGAACCGTGACAAAAAAGGTCTCGGCAGCAACGTCGGAAGGTGCAACCAACCAGAGAAAGAAAGCAGAAGACACTCGGACAAAATCCGTCGGCAGCGAAGGCACCGTCGTTATGCAACCTCCTTTTAATTTTATTACTTCAAGTTTTGCTCTCGTCTGCATTTATTTTTAAAGCAAAAATACATTACAAAAATATTATGTTCATGTGAATAGAACACGGTCGACGTGGGTACTTGCAATATTTCTTTAAAACCAAGCTGGAACAAGTAGGTAGTGCCATCTATCAATGTGAGCGCCAAACGCGCCCCGCTTATTGACCTGGTCGTCAACGTCGTCGCCCGCTGTTGATCCTGGCAAGTTTCTTGGCCCTATCTTTTACAGAAAGAGAGCTACGCTTTATAATTTTGCATGATAAAACCAACCTGTGAAATACACCTTTGACGAGACGTTTAGATTGCTACGTGCAGGCGTCAATTTTTACAGCCCATTTTAGATCAAGCCTGGTTATTTCAGTCGCCCTATGCCCCCAGGTAGGGCATGGCATTTTTATTAATTGTATACACCCTAGACATGATGGCCTATTTAGTGTTGTTGTAAATGCTTCTTAGTGGGTGGAGTACGAGATCGAAACAACACACACAGCCTGCTTTTATCGCACCCTCTTCCCGTCTGCCGCGGGGAATTTATTATCACTAACAAGAAAACCTTCTAGTGGGAGGCAATTCATGCCGAGTCGCTACATTTCCCCCCACTAACTCAAAACACAGTAACACAATGCAACAAGTAGTAACACTTTTAGTGGGTCTGTCAAGATGGTCATATGTAAGCCTGTCAGGTTGCCTACGGCTCCACGAGCTATACCTTAAGCTTGCACTTGGTTCATTTTGCATTGCCGTCGCAGAAGAAACGGAAAAAGTAGGCTCTTCATCATGTGGACTGTCGGAGTGGTTGTCAGGCTTCGAATCCGAGTTATCTCACTCCATAGGCACTTCTGTCTCCCCGTGGTCTAGTGGCAAGTTCCTTCCCGCATCAAAACCAGTTAGGGCTCTTGGCTTCAGGTGCTCACCGTGCACAAAGTGAATTATACCTGCAACTAGCACCAAGTATGGGACAGCACTAATTTTCTTCGTTACCTTTCCTCTAGCCCATCCTACCCCCTCCCCTCTTAGGTTTCGCACCCACACTTTGTCCTCGACATCAAATTCCATTGTCCTTGCATGTTTGTCAACACTCTTCTTGCTTTCATGTTGCTTCTCTCGCCGCACATTAAGAAAACCGGGTTTCAGCAAAATGAGATGCGTTTGTGGCAAGCGTCCAAGAAAAAGCTCTGCCGGCGTCTTTCCAGTTACCACGTGGGGAGTTGTTTGGTACTGGAACAAAAAGTTTGATAGCTTCAACTGTATGCCCCTCTTGTCAACACATACCCTGTCTCCAGAAGCTGCTTCAGGAGGGACTTCTTCACCATTTGAATTGCACGTTCGGCCAGTCCATTGTATGCTGGGTGGTAAGGGGGCGTAGTCGTGTGCAGGATTGCATGTTCTTGCATGAACGATCAGAAATCCTCCGGGACCAGTTGCGGTCCATTATCAGTGACCACTTCTTCTGGCAACCCAAACTGCAAGAATATAATCTGCAGGTTTTTGATGGTGTGCCCAGTGGTCAAAGAAGGCATTGCGATAGCCTCCAGCCGTTTTGAGTGGTCATCCACTAGGATTAGAATGTTCGATTGGTCCTTCTGGCAAAGTCTATGTGCACGTGTTCAAACACCCTAGTGCACAGCGGCCAAGGTTGAAGAGGCAAATGGGAGGGCGATGTTTTGCGTTGCATCACAGACGTCGCATGTTTGCACCAGGTTCTCAATGGCAGTGCCTAGTCCACTCCACCAGACGTGCTGTCTTGCAAGCATCTTCATTTTCGGTGCTCCTGGGTGTCCTTCGTGCAGAAGACTGATGATCAGATCGTGCAGAGCTTTTCGGAATAACCATTCGCACCCCCGATGCCAAGCAGTCCTGGTTAGTAGACAACTCATCTCTTCTCTAAAATAAAGGAATTAAGTCTGGATCGTCTATTTTCTTAGGCCAGCCTCGTTTTGTAAGTTTGATAATCCGACATCAGTAGTGGGTCCTTCTTAGTCTCTTGCTGCACTACCCAACTGGTGACAGGAAGATACTCGAGCGTTGAAAAGTAGCGCACATGGTCAGAGTCTACTGTTTTCGTGGGTAGAGCAAGCCTTGAAAGGGCGTCGGTGTGACCAATGCTGGTACTTTTTGCGAACATGATCACAAAGTCGTACTTCACTAACAGAAGTCTCCATCTCTGCATATGTGCAGCTGCCATGTCGGTTGACTCCTGCCCTTGCTTCGAAAGTGTAGTGAGAGGATAATGGTCAGTTACTAGTGTGAACTTCCTTCCGAAAAGGTACTTATGAAACCTCTTGACGGCGAATATGATGGCAAGCGCTTCTCTCTCTATTTCTGAGTAGTTCTGTTCAGCCGTCGTAAGCGTTCTTGAGGTGTATTTGACCGGTCTGTAAACATCCTTGCTTACCTTATGAGCCAAAACCGCTCCTACACCATAATTAAATGCATAGCAGGTCTACCGAATTGACTTACTTGGGCAATACAATGTAAAGACAGCAGCACTACAAAGAAGCTCCTTAGCTTTTCTCACACACTGTTCACATTCTTTGGACCACAGCCAGTCAGCCCGCTTTTCCAGCAGATCATGCTGAGGTCGTAAAAGTGTTGGCAGATCTGGCAGAAACTTTGCGTAGAAGTTTAACATTCCTAAAAAACTTTGAAGCTTGTGAACATTTGTTAGAGGTGGGGCACTTTTGACTGCTTCTACCTTTTTGGGACACGGTCGAAGACCATTTTGTCAAGCACTTACCCCAGGTGCTTCACTTCTGGTAAAAAGTACTTGCTCTTCTATATTCAAGCTAACACTGTGCTTGGCAAGCCGTTCCAACACCCTTTTCACATTGTCGAAGCACTCATGACTTTTGCCTCCAATCAACAGATCATTGATGTAGCATGCAGCCTTTTGCAACCGAGGCGAAATTTTATCTACACTGTAAGGCGGGTGTGAAAATTTAAAAAGGTCAAGGTGCATGGTTACAGTCAGTGCTTTTCTCGCATTGTTATCAAGTTCCAGTTGCAAATATGCAGCACGCAAGTCAAAAACAGTAAACACTGGGCATCTCCTAAATGTCGCAAATAACTCGTCCACCAACTGCAAGAGGTAGTGCTCTGTACGCAAGTTGGGATTTAGTGATACGTTGTGATCGCCACAGATAAGAATATTTCCGCCAGCCTTCGGAACAATGACCAGTAGTGTTGCCCAGTCACTCGTCTTTACAGGCGACAAGATACTTTTGTCCATGATGTCCCTTAACTCACATTCAACATCATCTCTGAAAGCAAATGGAACGGTATAGTGCTTGCAGAACACTGGCTTAGCATTATCCTTGAAAACAAGTTTGCAGTGAACCCAACTATGGTTCTGGAACTGACGGAAATATAATTTTCAGTCTCAAAACTGCGAAAACGTACTTCCAGTTCGGCTTTACATACTGCAGCCAGTCTCTACCAAGCAGCAATGGAAGCCGCATGTTGCTGTCCTTTACCACCACAAGAAGCAGCACATGCTTCCCATTACTGCTATCTACCTTGACGTCTGCGACTCCGGCAATGTTAATATTTTCTCCGGTGTAGGTACGCAAGCTGAGGTTACTCTGCTTTAACTCTCCTTGAGGTAGAATCTTTCGATACGCTTCCTCTGGCATAAGGGTAACCGCCGAGCCCATATCTAGTATCTCCAATTCTACATTGCGACCTGCCACTTTCAAAGTTAGTACCTGTGGCACCTGCCACTACGTTACAATGCACAATCCACACGTCTCGGGGACTATCATTAGGCGGCTTTGCCTTACCCTTGGTCTGCCTTCCTCTATACATACTTCTGATATGTCCCTGTTTTCCACAATTAAAACACTTTGCTTTGAGAAATAGACACTTACACGGCTGATGCACCGAAGAACCGCATCGAAAGCAGTTCCAAGCTGTTGTCGCTGCTCGTGGTGTGGTCTGTCCCATAATTGATGCACCTCAGTGGTGTCTGCGCAGCTCTGTCGTTGCAGCTCGCTGCTCTGCTGTGTAGCCAGCTCCTTTGCAGGTGCCACCTTGTACATGTCTTTGAACTTGGAGTTTCCATCCATCTCGAGAAGCGGTCGCTGAATCTCGGCGTCGAGGCAGCCTGGACGAACCGGTCTCAGAGGGCAGTTTCCAGGAATTTACCGTAGTCACAAGTCATCACCAGCTTTTTTTAGAGCAATCACAAAATCTGCCAAGCTTTCTCCTGCTTTCTGGTGCCTCTGGTGAAATTTTGTTTGCTCTGCAATGTTGGACTTGGCCGGCGAGAAATGGTTCTCGAGTACCTACGCCAGTTCTGACAAGCTCTTGGAAATTGGAAGCTCGGGCACCAGCGAGTCTTTTAGTGTGTGATAGGCATTTGTTCCGAGAAAGTTAAAAAAACGTTGCCGCCTCATTTTCTGATTTCACAGCGTTTACTTTCATGAAAATCGGGAAGCATTCCAAGTAGTTGTCAAACGTCTCCTTGTCTGGGTGGAACTAGTGAAACTTGGGCATGTTGTCCAGTCATCCCATCCTCATCGCCAGTTGTTGTAACTCCGCCTTAGGGACCTTAGCGGGCGTAGTCCGAAATCGAGACAACGCACACCGCCTGCTTCTATCGCACCCTCATTCCAACTGCTGCGGGGCGTTTATTATCAGTAAGAAGAAAACAAGATATGCTCTGGCCTCCTAGTGGGAGGCAATTCATGCCAAATCACTATAAGTGTGGCAATTTAAACTCAACAACCAACAGTGTAGTCAAGGCTATGGAGTGGGCTTAGCCAACATTAAGCTAAACGTCATCACCCTTGCCCCTTTTTGCTTGTTTTTACTTCTCCTGGCCAGCGTAACTGGTGACGTCAGCAGCATTTCCTCTCAGCACTCAGCGACATCCACGTGATTGGGGTAACGCGCCTGCACAACATGCTTGTCAGGAGCCATCCTGCCGTTAACCATGATATAGACCAACTAAAGAAGTCCAATTTCAATAAATTGAAATTGCAGTAGGATTCAAAGTGCTCGGACCTGATGAGCAAGTTACTAGACTTCTTACACATGTTTTATCAAAATGAAAGAAAGCGTTTGCAATATAGCGCGTGCCGCCTCGGTGCCTCCGAGGCGAGAGCGTCGGCCTACGGATCCCCACGTGGCGGGTTCGAATCCCGGCCGAGGTGCCCGCAATCTGACGGAGGCTTATTGCGGAGAAGACGCCGTGTAACTGAGCTTTCGGTTGCACGTCAAAAGACCCCCAGGTGGTCGAAATTAATCTTCAGTCCTCCGCTGGGGCGTGCCAGATGCCCGTCGTTGGTTTGGCACGTAAAACCCTCAAATTCGAATTCGAATTGCAATATAGTACGTCTCAAGCTGGGAGGGACCTCTGTCTACACTACACCAATGAATTTGAAGTCTTCAGTAGAATGAGGTACTGCACAAGGACCTCGCAGACCCAACTTTGTTTAATGTTTGGGGTGAGGGGAGGGAAGGTGAGAGTAGGTAGGAAACACGTTTCCACTAGAAGAAAGCACACGTCGGGAAAGCAATGGTGCCGACTGCTATTCCTTTATGCATTGCTAGAACCGCGCCTCCTCAAATATGACCTTGACCTCACAGGCTTCGACCATTCCTCTGTCCTATGATAACACACTCGGACAAAGCTCTCTACAAAAAAGGCTGCAAAAAAAAAAAAAAAAAAAAAAAAAAAAACGGGGCACGCAGTTTTAAGTGGGTATATTCCTACAGATACTCTTCTGGTTTCCCCAAGCCGGCCAGAGGTACAGTGAGTGTGGGAGACAAAGGCAACACTTGACCCAGTCCGAAGACGCGTCGTCACGAGCCTCGGGTGCCAGCATTCCTTCTTTTTTCAAAATCATGGCCCGAACGACACTTCTTGTTTTATGAATGGACGTAGACTCCATCCACCCCTAAGCTGGCAGTGCATAGAAACTTTATGCTCTTTTGACCCATCGCACGGTTATTTTTTGCCATGTGATCCTGCTCCTATCCATACCAACATGCAGTGAGCAGGATTACATGACGAAGAGGAGGCGGCTGTTTGGTCTGGCGAGGGTATAGTGCCCATTGCATTATCAGCTTATGGGTGAATTAATGCCTCCTGGTTGACATTAAACTGCAAAAAAGAATCGGAGTGTAAACAAGCTGCACAAAGACCGCCGAGTGCCCTCCACACTTTTGCTGCGAACTGAAGCGCTCATGAGAGTGTGGTCACATTCATTTTCTGCTAGTCTTTTGCGCCTGCCTTGGTGGACGAGCAATAGCATCGTGCGTGTCTTTGTCAAGATGCTGACAACTCTTAAAAGTTGTAAAACCAACATGTCCCGGAAGGCACAGCTATTGGGAGGACAGGACAGTCCTGCATTCCCTACACTTCCACAAGCACTGGCTTCCCACTTTTTCCGTTTCTCTCATTTTCCCTTTTGCTTCTGAGCCCACTCAGTGGTCATTTTAATCCTAAAATTGTGTGAATCGTTTTTTTTTTTTTTTTTTTTTTTTTTTAATGTTATTCTTTTTCTAGTTTGCTCACTCGCCCACATAGGTAGTTTCTCTACTTGCATACTTCGTGACACTTTTTTTTTTTGTGGTGGTTGTTGCTTTGGCAGTTTAAATATGTTAATAAATGCCTGCAAAAAATATTTTATTCTTGGGTAGCTGATAAAAAAAAGAACAGCAAATGAAAGTCAGTCTTGGTATAAAATTGTGTTGTGTGCATGTTTATGCAGCTTGAAGTTAGTCTGCCTCAATGGGCGACTTGTCTCTCAGCCGTAGATGAGCAATTTAGCCAGTGCAGTACAACAGCTAGCCTGGGGTCTTTAGCGTGCATTTTGGAGTAGTGATACACGTCTGCACGACCAGTATGATGAGCATCGACTGCACGCCGGTACGATGCTCATTCATATCGAAACGGGCGAAGGTGGGGATTGAACCAAGGATTTCTAGGTTCTGCAGCGCAAGCTTTCGCTCTGTGCTCCGAGCTGTTGTGCATTAGCCTGCTCAGTCACCTATCCCCTCCTTCGGTATAGATTTGCAACTTGCCTGTCATCTAAAAAAGCAGCCATGTTGGTCAAAAACCGGGCAGGTGGCAACCCTAGTGCTTTGTCATAGTTATAGCATGTCTTGTGGGGCTATCCGGCTACCTCTTCGTGCAGTGACTCTGTGATCTTCCTGAGCGCCAAGTCTCGCCGGCCGACTGGCAGCCGAATGGACGAGGCCAGCCCAAGCACGGAAGCTGCAGATACCATGTCCCAGCTGCACTCAGTCCACATTAGTCACAGGGGTGGGGTGAGTGACTCCCACCTGATAGCTTTGGAGGCCGCCTGCAAAGGAAAAGATGTGAGCTACATGAAAAACATAATGCCGCATTATGACATAAAGGGGAAAAACTTTGTATGGACATGCTGTCATGTCTTCTTTTCAGCATGGTGCATGGACATCCGAGCGTTGCACTTTATGGAAAGAGACTGCTGATTGAGCATGCACAGATTGTGTTTGAACTCGAAACCACAACCTAGTCTGGGATTCTGGCCGTGTGAAGTGTGTTAACACGTGTATCGCTACAATTGGATCTCTGTCCACTGTGTAAGAAAGAAAACATGGGCTTTTGTTTAAAAGGTTTGCCTTGTTTTTGAGTGATTATGGAATTTTACCTGCCTGAGAAGGGAAGCTTGAATGTACGGTATACCCTAAGAGAGATTAGCACAAATGATCAATGGCCGGAACGGTGAAAACGCAGCACGCAGCGCTGCAGTGTCACCTGTATACCGAAAGCGAGAGTGCTCAAGCTGTTTTTACATTTTAATTTCTGGGATGTTTTGGCAGATAGTGATTGTTTACAAATATTTTTTTTTTTTTTTTTTGCTAAATTGATGCTGTCATCATGACCCTTGTCAGTTCATCTGACCAGTGACGTTGAAGTGGCAATTAAAAAAAAGATATCACTTGTTTGTGCTTATCTCTTTTGGTGTTGACTGTGCAGTTCTTGGTTCAATAGCGCTAGGTTAAATTGAAGCCACGGATGTCTCAGTTTCGATAAAGCTCCAACTGGAAACATCCATCGGCAGCACAGGAAAACACTGGTTGCCTAATGCCCATTACCTTTGTGTTCACCATGTTCTGGCAGACTGACCCATAGCATGTCTTTGTGCATCATTAGGATCAAGGTCATCAACCTGCTGCCTGATAATACGCTGCACAATTGGAGGCACTTTGATTGGAGACATTGCAAATGTGGGTGGAAAGGGCCAAAATCCTTCATTGATTTAGTTGAGTGACTCTTCTTTGGCTACTTCTACCAAGCTTTCAGTCGTAGGCTTGTGGAAAGTTCTGAGGTTTGGGCAAATTCGGGGCCTTCAATGGTGACCCTCGTGGCGCGCTTTATGGAATGCACCGGAATGCAGGGGGATCAGCACCCGGAAGGCCCGAGGCTCTGCAATGGCTTTGTGGGGCGGCCCCTGAGCGAGTGCGGAGTCCGCACAATGGGCTTTGTGCAGCCCTCCTCTGTACCCAGCCTTGATGGGGAGGTGACCCTGCAGGTGCCCTCCCTCAGTCAGTGCAGCTCCTACAACCGTGAGCACCCTCTTTCCTTACCATCTCTCCTTGCAGGGTTGACAGTCGCCGGATGGGGGCAAGGTGGCATGTCACGTTTTCCATTGCTGCCCTTTACCGTTTTGGTTAAACACTGACAAAATGCTGCTTTAAGTCCTGCTGACTTGCTTTTCCCTGCTTTTTTTTCTTCTATTTATTCTCACTGTATTCATTCTTTCTCATCGTAAAAGGTTGTCCGCATAGATATGCTGAACGTGACACGCTATGCTTGAACGGCAAGATTTCCTTGCATGCAAAACATTTCTGTTTAGATTCAAGACTTTGGGAGTCTGCCATTGTGAATGTCAAGTAATTGAAGTCGTCATCCTGCACCAGTCCACCAATTGTACTGTAGCTGCGAGCCAATTGTCAAGAATGATGTCACTGACGGCCTGCCACGAGTATTTTACTTCCTATTTGCTCTGCACTTCCTTTCTTGTGTTTGGGCGTCTGATAGGTTTGGGACACAAAGAAAGTGGAACAGCAGCAGACGATTTGATTGGCTGCTTCCTGTGGCACACGTCATGAACACATACCAGAGGCAAACGTGCACTCCTCAAAATATTGAATAGTAAAAAGTTCTTGAAACCCATCAACAGCTGAAAATGTCATATTCACCCATTAACTTTTCTGTTCCTGCTTGGTATATTTTTTTTAGCATCTCTACAAGTGGATCAAAGAGCTAATCTCTGCAGAAAGTATGGAAGGTTTCTTCCTCTTTAGTCATATGCCAGCCTTTCATTGCTGGCTCCATGTTATGCAGTTTCTTCTTTGGGTGTTCTTTCTAACTTAAAGGCCGCCGTACAGTTCGCGCTTTCCACTTTTTCTACGTTTCCTTCTCTCCTGCCCTCCTTTCCTTCCTTCACCGCCCTCCCCCACCTGTTTACCACCCTCCCCCGAGGGGACAACATGGAGAATGGATTAGGAGACGCCTCCGTTAATCCGGCTTAACCCGCCGAAGAGGGGGCCTGCTGCTTGACTAAAAATTATTTCGCTGCTCAAAAAAAAAAAAAAAAAAAACGTTGCGGGCAGCGATTGTATGCGTTTTGCCGGATGCGCAACGCTCCGTCCGCCTTGAACAAGCTTGTATGCATTGGACTAACATTTTTTGAAGTGCGGCAGGTTTAGTGTAGGTCCTATCATATGGTCCTGCAAGACTTCCCTGTCCGCCACAAGCTAGCCAATAATTCAAGAACATAACGACGGCAGCGTAGTGAAACAGTGTAAAATAAAATGTATATAATATTTCTAAGAACACCGTTGTCTTCACTGCTTGGCTTTCAAATTCTTAGCGCTGCCAATAATCGTAATCAAACTATTTTTATGACTGAAGACAACTCGTCGTGCATCGACCCCAAGATTACGCTTACGTGGAACATGATTCGGCGTGGGAGCGGCTCAAGTCACCGTAAACATTTTTTTTTTTTTTTTCAACGTGGATTTTGCTTTTTTAATTTAGCTGAGGCACCACTGGCAGAACACGAATCGCATACTTGGAAGGTATATACCATCTGAAAACTCATATAGCTGGTTCAGTGAATGCAATACTATCGCATTCGTTGAAGCTTGATTTGTTGATTCGAACTTCAACAAATCACACGCACCCATTCTCCCTATTCCTGTTTACCCAGTCATAGTCGTTCCCTCACGATGCAATACGAGTACAAGTAACTGCAGTTTATGCATTGTTGACGTTAATTGGACAGCCGTGATCACACGGTTCTTAGAAGCGCTATAGAACGAGCACAAGCGTCGAATTCCGGTACACTGATTCATTTCTGTCTCACCGCCGTGACGCCACTCGAGAAAAGCGATTTCATTCTGTCTGTGAAATTAGGAACACAGAAATCAAGCTATAATCCCGGTAATAAAACAAAGCGAAATGGATCTCTGCAGCCAATACCCAACCGTTTGCGAGGTGACTAGGCGAAAGCATATATTACCTCCGTGCCTTTACCCTCTGCACACTGCCAGAGAGAGTCATACAAACTCCTTGCAGCTATTGTCAACACGATTGCGTTTGCAAGCCTCTAGTTTGACTCGGCTGGGATTCGTCCCTTTCATAGCTCTCTATGAAACGAGAAAGGTAGATACTTTTCTACCATGGGTGGGTTTGCCCGGGGCCTCCAGTTATTTCGGCCAAAATCACACTGGAGGCGCTTCAGCAATGTTCACTCTGGTCGACACACGTGCACACTAAAAATGCCAGTCGTCTGCCTTCCCAAAAGATACTTGAAGAGCCAATCATAGAGACCGACGGATAACGAGGCCGAAATTATGCTTATACCTCATAAAAATTATAACACAAATTTGGCCTCGTCATTCCCAAACTGGTTGCCGGACGAAATTCTCTATGCGTATTGTAAGCCAGGGTTGGTAATAGTAACATAAGATACGTACGGCAGAATTCCCTGCCATAAATAAAATGATTTGGCTAACGCTAATGTAACGCGAAATAGGTGGAAAGAGTTTTGCAAAAGAAAGTGTAAACCGAAAAAAAGGAAAAAAAAAAAGACAGAAGAAAAGGAGAAGTAATAATAATAAAAAAAATCTCTGGCGACGTGGCCAAAAAAAATAATTCTGTTCATGTGATTTTTATTGTTACGTGACCGAACAAAAAAAAAATAAACGAAATAAAAAAAGAACACGAGAAAAAATCATCCTCTGCCCGGTTTCGAAGCTAGGCCCTCTTGATTGTGAAACTAGCGCGCTATTCGTTGCGCCTAGTTGCGCCGACATAACTTTTTTTTTTCTTTCTTTATTGCAAGTTGCGCCAACATAACTCTGCCTGTAATGCTCGCGCATTTTCACATCATAGGAGAAAGCTTAGGTGCCTTCGTAGTTTTTCATATATGTGTTATTTTTATTTGTGGCAAGAGTTCACGTTCCAGAATGCTTTTAGAGTTTTGAAGCAAAACGAGTTTTCTTCATCCGAGTCACCTTCTAGAGCCAGTAGACCGCACTGGGTCGTCCAGCTAATCAAGCAGCTATTTTCAAATTCTCTGACGTGCCCGTCCTCGCATCCGAGGTCGCCGTTTGACAAGCTTATCTTCCACCTGGTAGCCGGAACCCCAACGGCAGCTATGTTCCGTCCCCACTCCCTCTCGAGAGGATGGCCTCGCCCCGAGGCTAATCCCCTTCTCTAGACACCCTTTCCACCCAACGCTGGCCCTTTCCCTCCCCGTCTCCAGCTTCGGGAGAGAAGGTTCTTCCCTGCAGAACGTCCCGTTTGTACAGCGGCCTTTAAGGGGGCACCTCTCAAAAATGAACTTTTTGTGATTTTTAGAACCTGCATCTCGCAAGCTCTATAATCGTACAAAGTAAAAATTTTTAAAAATTCCACATTTGGATGCCTTATACTTCTAACCACTTTTCTGAAAGATATCATGCCATATTCAAGCCCAAATTATTTTCAAAAATTATAATTTTATTGCGAGAATATGTCCCAAATCACCACAAACGAGTAAATAGACGTCAAAATGCGTGCTCGTTGTGCCCCGTCATTGCATGTTCGTTTGCCGCCATCATGGTCTCGTTTGAAAGGTTGTTTCCTTGTTCAAATTTTCGGCGCCGTTCAAAATGGCATTTACCCAGGGGAACTGGAGAGACTGCATTTTACCCACAGAAAGAAACCAAGCTACCGATTAGCTAAGGAGCACGGGCTGCAGCGAGTCTTGTTGCTATTGGCCGAAGTGTATGCCTCCTATCCTGAAATATGCCACCCCCCTCTTGCTCCTCCGGTTTTTGTGTGCCGCAGAGAGCCGAGAGCAGCCAAAATCATTCTTTGTCTTCTGCTCGGTAATGCTTACATTGTTGTATTTGGACTGGTGTCGACAAACACTGTTTTTTGGCACTCACCTGCTTTGTTTAGCTCAGTGTCTTTAGGAGACATTGGTAGTGATTGCGATGCCTAGCAATCCTCACTTGAAGGGGTCAATGTAGCGCGCGTATGGCAAGCAGAAGCATCGCATGTTTAACAAGAAACAGTCTGTGCTCGCATTGCTTGCATCTGACATGTGGCAAGTTGAGTTGCCAGCAGTTGCATCATCTTCAAAGGTGCCTACTTCCGACGTGAGCGATGAAGTGGACGACGGCTTCGACCTTGGTGCGTCACGACTTGACACGCATTTCCACTCGCCAAGCAAAAATGCTCAACGTGTGGTGCTGGCTGACAAGGTGAAGGAGGATTTGGTCGCCAAATCCCCGACAAAATGCAAGTTTGACTTCCTCAACGTCACTCAGGAGTCTGAAGAGATGGATTCCGGCAAGCAGTTCGTGATCGTGAATTTGAATGGGCTGAATGTGTTCTTCGCGGCTACGAAATGTGGATGGTGCGGATTGCCCGGGCCTACGTCGGAGAGGACCAAAAAGAAGAATGGGCTGGCTGCGAAGTTGGGTGTTGACGTGCCATCCGTGCGAGAAGCCTTTGTCGTCGCCCAGAACTGGAGGGAAGCATTAATTACGCCCTTTTGATCTCAACATTGGAACTGTGAAGGGCATTTAGTCGATTAGATAAGCGTCTACTGCCCTCTCTGACTTCTTCGCAGCCTTGAACCTTTCTCACGGAAGCCTTTGCCACAAGACCTCGCAACACCACTTGCCCATGGTGATGCAAGCTTGCGAGCAGGCAGCAGCAGTTTGCGAAGCAGAAAGTGTCTAAGCTGTGAAAGCCCTCTACGCGGACTTTCTCGACCCTGCCAATAACATTGACTTAGTACGATGGTGCCTGAAAGACTTTGTGGGCCGCAAGTCTCACGCTGGTATGGGCTGCATTGTGGAGCTGTACAGCGGTCTCGTGATCGACCACATTGTCCCGTGCAATGTCTACCTAGCACATTCACTTGGCCCAAAGTCTCGAAGAGGAAGGATACAGTGCATGGTTTGCCAAGCATGAGCCAGACTGCCAAAGGAACATTGATTGCAAGTCTAGGCAAATGGAGGTGGAAGCAAGCACTCTTCGTGTTCAGAAGGTCCTTTGAGAAGTATGGCCTGCACCACTCTATGGTTCTTTCTGAAGAAAACAGCAGGACGTACCATGCCCTGAAAGAAGGGGCCATTTACCGGTTTGAGGAGGTTGAAAAGGACTGCCTCAATCACATCCACAAGTGCATGGGAACAGCTTTGCAGGCGCCTGTTGATAGGAAGGCTCAAGGTGAAGCGCTTGCAGGGAAGAGGCAGGCTGACTCAAGAGGGAATGGAAAAGACAACAGACTATATGTTTATGCCCTTTGGAGTCACAGCCATGATATTCCTGCGACGCAAAAAGAGGCCGCCCTTCGCCACATGTAGTCCACCGACGAGTCTCCAGACCACGGCCTCTGTCCCGAAGGAACCAGCTCATAGTATTTCTACAACAGAGTACCTGCGTACCTGCCAATCACGAGCAACCCTGTGGCCACAGGAATTCCCTCCCAGGCTTTATTTGAGAAACACTGGAACCCGTGTTTGCCAGACTTGGGGACAAGGACTTGCTCCAGCGGTGCAGTGTCAGCAAGACACAGAACCTAAGTGAGAGCCTGCACTCCGTCATCTTGTGCGGGTCTTGAAGAATGCCCACGCATCAGTGTACAGAGAGCTGTTGCTGAAGCTGCCACCATCTTCAACCAGGGGGTGAGGAAGACAAACGAGAGTGTGGCTTACAGCCAGGCTATGCTACTGGCACCGCCCTCGTCAAGAGGAGCATTGAAAAGGACAGTCGGAGGCTGAACAAGTCCAACGAGGAGTTCTTGGAACGCACGAAGAAGAGGCTCTCCACAAAGCACAGAACAGACGCGGACCAGGAGTACAGTCCCGGGCTTCTCTGAGTGCCTTACCCCCAGTTTCCAAGCTAGCTTTTTGAGCATCCCCCCATGAAAAAGCCCTTCTAAGGGCTAACAGATTGTTGCATATGGGGAGGATCTCTTCACCCATGTCTCTCTGTTCATGTACTATCCAAACCAAAATCATTCCACCAATCTCTATCATCCTTAGTTATGCATGCCCAAAACTTAACGTCGATTTCCTCGGCTTTGGTTTTTCAGCATATTCTCCGACCTTACGGGTCTTTTTATTCACTTCTGCTCAACCAATTCTCATAAACTTGGTATTATATTTTTATGAAAATAACTAGACTGCAAACTAAAATTATTTTTATTCTTATATTTTTGGTAGGCTACAACTACGAAGTACTTTATAATTGGACATTGTTACAGCCTTTATTGTATGGCTTACAATTACTTTAGTTTTGTACTTGTATATAAGGTGCTAAAGAAATGAAAATTGCTGTAGCTTGAATGTATTTTTTTAGCAAGCAATTATTTATTGTTTTAACTAATAAAAAAATTAAAAACCCTGTAAAAAGTTAGCTAATTCTTTTATTCTGTTGATAACTTTAGACAAAGAAGATATATCTGAAATATGATTGCAGTTATGAAATCAGCATAACAAATTGGACATCTATGCCAAAAATCACTCAGACAGGCCACTAAACAGAAAGGTTCTTGAACTTGCTAGGGCACTGATGAGCAGTTTCACCAACTGTATAGCTTTCTGGAACAATGCCAACCGCTATTCAGTAATGTTTTTGTCAAGGTGTGAGATAGACAGAAGGGGGATGGGGGGTTCGCTGACTGTTTTGTGATGACTTTCTGTATTATCCTTTATTGTTATAGGGAGATTGTGATTTGAGTTGCATACCTCTTGGCATTTTGCAGAAGCAGTTTCATTTCGTGACGGATGAACGTCATGTCAGCTAGATATCCAAAGAATGAATTTGACTTGAATGCAACCAAAGTACCAGATAGTTGTTCGAAGAGCACATTCGCATTGACTACCTGAAGCACTTTTGATTGAGGCAGCGCATTCACGTGAGCTCGAGATTGGGGCAAATTGACCGAAGGCTTTCTTACTTAGGCACTGGCTTTTTATAGCGTGAGCTACTCTGGCCGAGGCTGAGCAGTTTCGCGTGGTTGTCAAAGAGCCGTGCTGCGTAAGCGCGAAGAGTAGTGACGTAACACGGCGCACAGCTGGCGTGCTGGAGCCGCCGCCCTCTGCCGCCGCCCTCCGCTGCTGCCGCGCGCGCCTCGCCGGTCTGCGCATGCGCGAGGAGCAGTGACGTCACACGGCGCACAGCTGGCGTGCCAGAGCCGCTGCCGCCGCACGCACCGTTGCCACCACATGCGCCTCACCGGTCTGCGCATTCCAGAGGAGTGACGTCATAGCCGCGCCAGATGCATTGGCGCCGCCGCGTGCCCAGCTGTGCGCCTCCGTTGCACAGTAGCCAAGTCTGACACTGCACCGGAGCCGCTTGATAGCGCCTCTCATTTTGTGCGCATAAGCTTACGCTACGTATATCCTGGCATAGCCGAGCTAAGCCACCGCAATTTTCAATAGACTTTACGCAAAACGGGCAGCACCGGTGCCAAAAAGGTATGCTGGGGAGGGACTGTACAGAGCCGGGTGTAGCGAATGACAGAGGCAACATAGGCGAGCAGGCAAGGGCAGGCAAGTAACTGCGTTACCTTCTCTCTCTTTTACTTTCTCCAGTGTCGCACAATAAATGATGCGAGGGCAAGGAAGATCATACATGACGATCTTACACTTGGTAGCGTGCCTATTGAAAGCCCACACATTGTTTGCTGGATAACCTTTGAAATACTACTACTACTTCATGGCTCCTGCCATGTCCTGGCTTCAAATTTTGAATGATGCATTCACAAGGTGCCCGTAACGCTTTTTTGCCCAAGTTGTAGTTGGTAGAAGTGTTGGTGGCTCCTAGAAACGTTGTGGGTCCTGTGCCCTTTCCTGCAGCTCTTGACGAGTCCCTCTACAACCCGTACGGGAGCAGTGAGCTGACGTTGAAGACACGGAGCCTCCCCTCCTGGGGCCGCTCTAAGCAGCGGCCGCTCTCCACCGAGGATGACATTGGCGAGCTCTACGCCAAGGTAGCAATCTCCTGCATCTGAGAGCACTGCGAGTTTCAATATTCCCTGTCATTGATATACTCCATCCACCCTTAAAGGGATACTGAACCGAAATTTGGTTTTCGCAAAGCAAGGCTGCAGAAGTGTTGAACGGGACGCTACGAACCCCAAAACATCACCCGTACATCGATATCTCAAACAGATGGCCGTACTATTGGAAAAGAAGGGCGCGATCAAGCGAGTTCTTTGACGTTACTGTCCTCCGGGAGAATTTGAGAATAAGGAGAAGCGGCCTCGCTTCTCTCCTCATCGCTGCGGTTCACCATCTTGACGGGACGTAGCGAGGAGGAGAGAGAATGGGAATCGTGACGTGCCTCGTCTCGTCGGCCTCGTAGGCAGAGTTCAATCGCGCACTTCATTTCCAAAAAAATATGGCGATCTGTTATTTATATTGCCGTATCAGTGATATTTTTTGGTTTTGCAACTTCCCGCCTATCCGCCCGGCCTTGTTTATTAAGCTCGAAATTTCGGTTCAGTATCCCTTTAAGCTAACGGTCCAGTAGGACCTACGCACTTGCCTGGCCAATCAACCAGCTCCTTTTCAACACCTGACCCCGCTTTCGGCGCATGAAAATGGGTGCCAGCGTGATTACATGCCAAACGATGGACATACGACTGGTCCAACCAGCGCGTAACTGCCACCCCACTCTAACCTTAAGAGTGAACGGAGTATATAATATACAACCGAATCGCTCTTGGCACAAATTTGAGATCGGTGCTTGCTCACATATTTCTCACGGTGGGTAAAAAGGTCCATGGAATGATATTGAAGTTTTGCATGCTATGTACAGCGTACAGCTACAAGTGTGGCAGAGGTATACTCGCGCGCAGTGCTACTGAGCCAGAAACTTCTTTATTTCTGTGTAGTTTCAAGAGTAGAGGTGTACTATTCTTTTTCGTCTCGCCTTTGCAAACCTCAATGCAGTCATAGGAATCGCCGCTGGAGTGTGTGAGCTGAACGCGACTCGTGGATTGTACTCGAGCTCTGCATTGGCGCTCAACTTGAGCTGATGTAGTGTACAACCGATACCTCTGCAAGCATTTGCCGAACTCTTACAATGTCCATGACACGACCCGTCCCCTTTGCATTGCCCAACCTAGCGGATAAATGTGTTGAACACTGACAGCATTAAACCCGCACCGCGTAGCGCAATTCCTTGTTTCGACCGTGAATGTTTTTCGTTTTTCGCCAATGTTTTTTTGCAAATTTTGGTGCTTGAAGAAAAAAAAAAACTTGCACATGTTTTCTAAGTTATTGTATGTCAAGCATTCATTTTTAACAGTATTTAATGCTTGATTTCTATTTCTTGAGATGAAACCATATTCTGTACAATAGCAGTTTTAATATGGCCTCATCACAATGGGCTAAGGTTTTGGGGGTGTCGAATCACAAATGATTCTGAACTATTTTTTTCTTTATTGATCATTTATAATTGCATTGTTCATTTTAGTTTTGTAAAACCAGCTAAGTATCCAAGCCACAAGATGTAGTCACTAACAGCATCCCCGTATTAATTAAGGAACTTGGGTGTAAAAGATGCTAATTTTATCCCTTCTTTCCCGTGGACGCAGGTGAACTTCAGCAAGCGCCGCAAGAACCGGATGCGCAACGACAGTGCGGCGGCCATAGCTGCCACTCGCAGCTACCACCAGCAGCGCTACCTGACGCCCTTCCACACACTGCCCTCCGCCCACAATGACACCGACTCGCTCGTAGACAACGAGGCAGTGGTTGTCTATGACGAGCGTACCGCCGTCTGAAATGCAACACGCAATGCCTTCTCGCTTGCACAGGGTCGCGGGAGCAGACGGACCCACCACGGCTTCCCACCGTAGCGGGTCCGTCTTGGCACTGCCGTTTGGTGTTCTCGGTTTGTGCTTGTCAACGGTCGTCCTCCCAAACAGCTTTGCAGCTGATGACTGCACGTTTGTTTCGAACGAAAAGTTTCTGACTTTTGGTTTGCTGGCAGGTGTGGTGACAGGACCATTTTTTCAGTAGCGAAGGGTACGAGCTAAATGTCAAAGTGCCGGGCATTGCAATCTTGGTAATTCCAGTGGCATTTCCGAGTAACTCGTGCACCTGTTTGAAGTGTCTTGGTATTTTTGTAAACTCGGAGCGTCGTCTCCTGCAGCCTTGCTTGAACTACAGCTAGTGTGCATTTAGCCGGGCTACAAACAAAAAAAGAAAAGAGAAAAGGCTTCCTGGTCACAACCACCGCCATTAGGTGGCAGAGATTTCACACCTTGTTTACCTTTGTTGAGCTGTTTTATAAGCAAGTTGTTGTGGTATAGATCCCAAGGAATATTCTCCTTTGTGGTTGATTAGCCCCATAGACTTCATTAACATTCCTTTTGTATGGGTCCCAGCATTCAGGGGCTGCAAGCCTGGCATGTAGAACATGCCATAGTCTTTGGGAGAGTGCAGCAGTTAAACTAATCATTAATATCTACTAAGTCATTATGTACTTTTGTTACTGCTTCAGCTGCTCTCATCCCTACCCCACCATGTTTTTGCTGGCTTTCATCTACTTTTGTTGATATTTATAGTTTTTATAATGTAAAGGGTGGTGTTCACTGGTGGTCATAGCCGAGCCTCTGACCTCTCAGCAAGTGTTGACAGCGAGCGTCCACGGCACTTTGGTAATGTGTGTTCCACATCCTTGGAATCATTGTTCTTGGCAGACGACAGATGGGAGCTCATTCTGAGCGTGTGCTGTTACACTCGTGTAGGGCGACCAGTGAATACCACCTACAAAGGGCTTTGGTGGTCGTATCTAGTCACGATACCCTAGGGAACCCCTGATGTGAGTCGCACATATCTTACGTAAGCCTTGGACCTAGATATTCCAGTGAGCCTTAGCGATTTAGTGTGCACCGTGAGAGTATGCCTCGATTTGGCATCATACTTTACTGCATTGCACGGTGGTCTCATTCTGTTTTCCGGGCACGACAATCGCCCCGTCTGCCTCAGAGCTTCAGAGTCTCGCGGAATATCGGCATGAACAAGGTCCCCAGAAACATTTTTCATAATTGCGAGCAAATTTGGGTCTTTCCCACAAGCTGGGCTCGGCGGACGATATTTTTAGACGATCTCGTGGAGGAAATATTTTTGTAAGTGAAATGTCTGTTCCTTCGCCATGTTCCGACAATGCAACGCATTCCCAGTTCTGCATCTGTGAAAGGGAAATTGCCTTCAGGCTGTTGATCAGAGGACCCGAGGTAAAGAATCCTAACGTCACTACTAAGGGGGTGGGGCATCTTATTTTTCTTTGTACGTGCAATATATCTATTTTGTTTGTTTCAGTCATTCCAGTGATTGTTGTATCGAGCTTGCTTGTTGGGCCACGCAATTCATCTTTGCAGAGAATGTGCATATCCAGACTAACTGGATCAGTGGGCCAACAATATGCTTCCACCTTTTAAATGGAAGTGGTGGCAATGGCAGACCCTCCAATAAGGAACATTTTTTTATACCTACCTTTTTTTATTCGCCTTCTGCGGCACGAGTTGGTGGCACGGGGACACCGAAGGCATGTCGTGCTTGGGCAGACTCATGGAGCCACGTGAATTTGTTGTTCTGCAGCATGCGACGATTGTAAAAGGCAAAATTCTTTAGAGAACTGTACTCGGTTTCAGCATACAACACTGCCAAAGCTGCTGGCTACGAGTGTGTGCTTCCACCCTTGCTGTTCGTCGGCATGTGCTCTCGCGTAAACGAGGCACTATGCTCATTTTTCCCTTACGATTGAGCGCAGTGGACGCTACAAGTCATTGTAGTCAATCCAGAGCTTCAAGCATATTGTAAAGCTCTGCACTCCGCATGTCCTTCCAGAAGGGCACACAACTTTATTGTGGCATTGGACAGGCTCTAATGGCTGCTAGCATCTGCTGCAGGTGCATCATAAGGAGAAACGGAGCATAGGCAAAGCCGTATACTCGCTGGCAGCTTTGACAGCATTACACGCCGAGCATGAAATAGAGTATAGTGACTCCAAAAGGTTTGTAGAAGTCTCTTTGCATTGAAAGCAGAACGAAAAACAACAAGCAGGGGGTCATATAGTGGGCGATAGCAAGGGTGTTTACAAACGAGTATAGGAGACTAGTGACAGCAGCTTGGTGAACAATGTGTATATGCACACCTGTGACGTACCCGTGGCTTGGTGTGGTCGGAGCAGCAAAGTACTACCCCTACTCATCTACTGTAATTTGACTTCATTAAACTTGCTAACACAATGAGAGTTTGTAGAATGTTTATTCGTGGAACATAAAATAAACGCTTGCTTGGAATTTTCACTGGAAAATCTGGGTAAGAGCACAGTGTTGAGTCATGCAGCACCACTATTAAATAAGTCGCATGGGTTGCATGTCATGCACATAGCACAATTGCTTCTGAAGGCCTGCGGGTAAGGTGGGGATTGTCAACGGTCACTTCACAGCATTGTTTGAGAACTTCAAGGCACCGAAACGAAAAAATCGGCCGTCTTTTTGACACCGCATTAAACCGGCTTCTTCGGACTCCGTCGAAGAACATTCTCACCCTGCCTAGCACTGGATGCAAGAGCCTCCGCCGGTGGAGACGCGAACTTCCGTCGCGCCTGTAGGATGCTGCACTCTGCCAACTGCAAGGAGCTCGCGTGGTCGAGGCGCGCGCAGTTCTCGGCCAGCATTCTGTAGTGATTCTCTATCTTCGCGACGTCAGCGGGGTCGGGGCAGCTCGGCGGCGGCGGCAGGTAGGGTGTGAACTCGTATCCAGGCTGCAAAAGCTGATCCCACGCCTTCGACTCGGCCACCAGGGCTCCGAACTCCTTGTGATAGTACTCCGTGTCCTCCTTTGTCGGGGACGCTCGAAGGATCTTCATCAAGATGTCGTCGCTGTCGAGGTCTTGAAAGGCGGCTGTGCCGTCCACGGTGAGGGCCCGGACAAGGTCCTCGGGGACGTTGTGCTCTTGTTGGAGTTTGCGCACCGTTCGCGCGAGAGTTTTGCGTATGAGGATGAGAGAGCGTTCTTCCTCGGGAATGTCTTGCGGAATCTGGCTGTAAAGTTCGTCTTCGGAAGCGAGCAACGAAAGACCGCTGTACCTCCGTCGGTGACGGTCCGAGGATCTCCGCTTCTGTGACATTTTCACACGGGAAATATTGACGCACCGGGGGTAGCTCTTTCACGGAAGATTTCAAACTGGAAGTTGTGCCGTGCCGCGTCTCGTCCGTTATGCTCCGAGATGAAGACGTCGCAGGAAATGTAAAAAGTCAAAATCCAGACGCACGGGCCACGGCGCGACCGCGGGGCTGGCGGGGCCACCGTGAGTTTTTCAAACGTCGGTGCATCGGTGGGTGGCGTCGGTCGCGTCCTCGGTAGCGATGGTGGCCAACGGAGCGAGTCGCCCTCTAGCTCAAGATGGCGAAAACGTAGGGCGAAACACGCAAAACAACTGTAGACAATTAAAATTTTGTCTAACGTTTCAATTACTTTTGTTTTACTTTTAATAATAACTTAGTTAAGTATCACATTATAGTTTGATATCTTCCTTTTTTTTCTGAAATGTTGTTTCGGTTTTTGTGTAGGGTAATGGCGGAACCCGGGACATTTTGCGAGCGTTTTTGCGTGTGTGCCGAAGTGCGGGGTTTGCAGCCTGAAAACTGAACGTTTCCGGCTGTAAAAGGCCGTGTGCAAGCTATCGCAAAACCCCCAGTGCTGCTCTTCAATATGGAGGATACCGATGCGCAGAAACTGGTAAGTGACGCACGTGTTTGTTTGGGTAACCGCTCCGGCCGTACGGGCAAAGTAATACGGGTCCTTGTATAATCGGGCACCTCGCGCTTGTTTATTGTCGGTGTAATTCCGTTTGCCGCATTGCCGTTTGGTCATTTCACGCATCAAAAATTGAACCATTAAATGACCCCCCTTGTGCGCGAGCTTTCTGCCTTTGATGGCACTTTATATTACGCGCAGCCGAAGCCCGCGAAAATGCAACGAGCGCTTGCTGAGCACCAATAAACCAGTATGTTTTTCTTAGTGTGTAAGTCACGGAACTCTTAAATTAATGTGCAATTGTAGAATGTTTTTTTGTGTGAAAATTGTTAAATTAATAATTATGTAGGGTTTATTTTGACCCACCGTGTTTGAGGGCCAGGAATCATAAGTGCGAGCGAGCGAAGAAGCTACAGCAGAAAGCACAACGGTACAACCAACACCGCACAACGCTTTGAGTGGGTCTGCTGCTGTCATGCGCGCGCATGCTCGGGAATACTAGCATTATGCATTTAGCATAGACTTAAGCTCTTTTGTTTTATTTTGTCGCCAAACAAAATTCGGTATTTATTTTCCTTCGTAACCGTTATCGTAATTTACGAGAAAAAAAAAAAAAGTTATAACGTTAAGGAAAAAAAAAAATCAACATTTAACGTTCGTCGTCTGCGCGTGCCCGAACTCGCTGGACAAAGCGCAGCGCAAGCTGTGCAAACCTCTGTTGGTGCATACCATGATAAAATACGCAAGTGTAATATCGTCTTCTTGCGCTTTTGCTACATTCTTGTTTGCAAATAACGTGAGTAATCCCTGACAGCGCTGTAGTACCGTTTTGCTCTAATCAATCTCGAACGCAAAACGTTTTCCGTGCTATCCGACTTGTTTTATGGTCGCCAGATTGCCATGGGAACTGGCCGCCGTAGGTATTGATCGTGCACACATAAATGAATAAATAAGCGCTCGCGCCTGCTCTTGGCCTTTTGGTGCCGCTGCGTGGGACCTGATATTGATCGTTGGATTTACTTAGAACCCTGCTGGAAATGGACCAATTGAAGTAGACCCTACAATCACATTGAATCTATGAGCCATTGCAGGCTCAAACACCTTCAGTCGTATGGGTTTATGGAACAAAAACCTTATGTGCAGCTATTAGAATAAGGTATGCTCTGATGCACATACGTCTGTATGAATTTATGGCACAAAAACCTACGCGCAGATATTGGTAATAGGTACTCTGATGCACATAAGTATCTACTCGCGGCACAAAAACCTAGCTATTTGCAGCTATTGGTGAATAGGTATTTTTATGCACAAAGGTCTGTGTACGCATTTATGACACTAAAACATATGTGCACCTACTAGTGACTGGCACTGTAATGCATGTAGCATTGTACAGGTTTATAGCGCAGAAACCTATTTGCATCCATCGATAATTTCTCTGTAATGCAGCTAGAGGTATATGTTAATAAACTCCGGGAAAGAGGTCTAATACACCGCTAGCTGCATTTGAGTCAAAAATTGTGAAAAGCCCAAAACGCAAATGTTCAAAGCAAGAAAATAATAGAAAAAAAAAATCTGTTTATACAAATGGGGAAAGCTGAAATGGACGATCTGAAACATCAGTAGTATTCACGATAGTCCAGTCAGCATGAAATGCAAAATTCAACCTGCACCTAACGAAAATTGTGCTTTTAAATTTGGGCACGCACACTGCGCTACACTGTTAGCGCGCACACGGCTTCGGCGCTACTTTGCATTCTTTTTCAAGAGTTTTCACGGGCGTCAAACTTTATTAGGGCCTAAATTAAAGCCCCAGAAAAAAATCGCAGATTGCTTGTTCACACTAACAGTGTCGCGCACATGCATCAGAACTAAACGCATTCCCTAACAGTTCCAAGAGCACTAAAAAAGTAACAAGCAGATGATGTTACAATATAGCAATGGCTTGCCTTTTTGTGCTGCTATAAGTGCAGTGTTTTATCAATAATAAATGGTTATTTTATTAGATAAAAAATTGGAAGCAGTTTAAACTTTCGTAAAGCTTTTCTAGTAGCCAAGCAATTCGCAGTGTAGTTTAAATCTCGAACTAGGAGCAAATGTCAGGCCGGTGTAGATCAAACTTTTTTGATGCTTAGTGGGGCCTGCTAAGGAAATGTTTAAAAAGCAGCCGAAATACAAAAGGGGCCCTTCTCTCTTGTGGTGACCTGGCGACTACCAACCCCTCTTAGATAGCCAAGCTGTAATGCTGAATTTTGCGTCACCTAAGGAAGGCCACAATGGGGCAGATTGAGTACATGGTCTGGTCTCAGCGTTTGGCCGGGTCTCGCGCCCGGTCAACGAGAATCTGAGTCCCAGCCAAGCACTGATGCATCACTCGTATTCAATCTGCCTCATGGTGGCCTTCCTTAGGTAACGCAACAAATTGAGTACTACGGCTCGGTTATCTAAGAAATGTTGCCACTACACTTGCTTCTTGTTGAGAGCAGGGGTGTGGGAGCTGGCCTTTGTCGGTCTTCGAAGAGCCTCTTGTTTGCTCTTCCTGAATCTCTGATCGTGTAGCCATTCATATGCTCCATACGTTCAACTAAGATGTCCGGGCACTTGCTCCACGCTGCCTGAGTCAATCTTCATAGCAGTCTGAATAATAGAAAATTGTATCAAAACATTATGGTGACAGACCTGTGAAACTCTAATTGCGATCTACCACTAGGGTTGGGTTGTGCAGAACTAAGATGGCATTAACTGAAAAGTATAGTCTACTTAGTGTCCATATTATATTCACATTTTCAATTGAAGGCATTGTGTTAACGGCTGTAAGCGCAGGTGGCCAGTTAACGTCCCTTCCGCAGTGTGTGTTCACTTGGTTTAAGAGCGTTAAAGAAATCTCCCGGTGCTAGCCTGAATGTGACTTCACACTGCCCAGTATCTATATGTTCAAAACTTCTATGTGCCCAATACCTCAACGGGAAGTCAGCAGGTTGTGTCTTCACAGTCGAACAAGAATGAACATGGTACCTATTCACAGCTTTTTAGCTCACCAACACAAAGTTAAATTATACCAGATACTGTAGAACTGTTTATCATGGATCTATCATGAATGCGCCATATGAACACATTGTTTTTGATAGTGTATTGCAATGCAGCTGGGCAACTGACCCCACATACTACCCGTACGTACACAGGGAAGTTCTGGCCATTTTGTCTACGTATTTTAAGCCCTGCAAAGACAGACTAATGATCTAGTGAATTGGCAGTTTGTATTAACGGCCAAGAGGTTGTACAGCGGCCGTGCCGTGTGATTAAATTAAACCGAGGTCTTTGGGGGGCACGAAAATAAACTACGCATAACAGAAAGCTGAAACTCTGCCAGAATGTGACGCTGGCAGTGCAAAATGAGAAAGCTTGAGAACATAATGTACCTATAGATGAAAAGACAAGACTGCGGGCCGACGCCGACTACAGCTACTTTCTGCAAAATTCAGAAACATTATTTAGGGTCTCTGTGAGCCTTATTTCAGTAATATATATGTATATATTTTTGACAATTATTTTGTGTTATCAAACTTTCTCATCCTGCCACCACTACTGTCACGTTTTTGCGGAGTTTCAGCTTTCTGGAGATGGATAGTTCGTTTTCTCATACGGCCACTGTATTCTAGGTTGTCTTGCAGTCTCATAAGATTAGGCATTAGCAGTGGTGCACCGACGGAGAGGGTTGTCAAAATTCAACCTCCCCTTCCCCCCAAAAAAATAAAAATATTTTTTTTTTTACATGACGCCGAAGGTTGGTAAGGTGAGAATTGATGACATTTCTGCCTGACGGGTTGGAGCGTTTCCTAAATTTCGTCTGTTCACTTCACTCGCTATCATCGTGGGAGTGTTGGACATTTGTGAGAGCATGCTATACCTCATTATGGCTAGCAGCATACATTCGTAGTACTTCGTTCTGCAGCACTGAAAGTGGGTGTAAGTCCCAGTCCCAAGTGCAAGGTTGAAAAAAGATCCCACGATCCCAGGGTAAATAATGTGCAGCAGGGTGAATTCATTGAGTAAAAATATAAGCTTCCTCAAAAAAAAAGAGTTTGTTTGGTTTATAAACGAATTTACGTTGAGCCTTTTTTCTGCGAAATCATAAATTGGCATGTTAGGCCATTGCGGCGTTTATAAAGCATGCAAAGAAGGTGTAATAAGAAATAAGCAAATTTACTTAGATGCCCTCTTCAGTTTGGCAAAAGTAAACACGGCGCTGACCCAAAAATCATCTGTTGTTTTCACGCGACGGAACTATAGAAAATGTAGATTTTTTTTCTATGCTCGTTTACTAAGCGAACCATTCATTCTACACGTTTACTAAACAAATGCACCACCTTATTACACCTGTGTACCTATTTACACCAAAATTTCTTTAAAATCGATTTGGTGCTCAATTTAAAAGTCCGACCGCCTTCTGCTTTTCCCTGTATATTTCATGTGTTTCATTTTTATTCCATAAATGTTTATCTAATGGATAAACATTTGAGACTTCAAATCTGAAACAAGCGAGTGAGGTTTTTCAAATGTGGCTTTACTAGGTGTTGCGGGGACAAATCAGCAGGTGCGGTGAAAGTGACGAGTATTTTTTGTTTATTTAATAGTTTAA